TTTCTCCTGGTAAAATCTCCATTAAATGTTTGAAACTCAGACATGAAATCCATTAGGTCCCGTGCACCAGAGAAATCCATTAGGTCCCGTGCACCAGAGAAATCCATTAGGTCCCGTGCACCAGAGTTTACTACAGACGCACGAGAGTTCAGTTGATTTTTTTTGTTTTTTTTAAAATCTAATTCCATATGACGAGAATAAAATAAATGGACGAAAGAAGAGACCAGGATGATAAAAAATAAAAGTAATAATAACATCTAATAAATATTTTTAAGATTCCGCTATTTTCTGTTTCGATTAAAGGGATATGGTTGAGCTCTGTTATCTTATCCGTATGAAGGGAAATGACGGAGCTCTGTATTAGACCAACAGCTTTCCATTTTCCCCAAATGAAGGGCAAAGGGAATCTGTATTACCATCTAGTGATTAGTCTAAGCTTGTGAAGGGGGGGGGAGCGGGGCGCAGGGGATTGTTAAACATTTGGGGGTGGGTTGAACTAACAAAATTGTTTTAGAAAGACTGGTTGAAGGAATGTCACAAGGGCAACAAAATCGGAGCTCTGTATTAGACCAACAGCTTTCCATTTTCCCCAAATGAAGGGCAAAGGGAATCTGTATTACCATCTAGTGATTAGTCTAAGCTTGTGAAGGGGGGGGGGGAGCGGGGCTCAGGGGATTTTTAAACATTTGGGGGTGGGTTGAACTAACAAAATTGTTTTAGAAAGACTGGTTGAAGGAATTTCAAAAGGGAAAAAAAACAAAGTCAAAACCTTAAACCTTAATAGAGTATTTTTTTTTAACTAGAAGAAAACATTATCTTACTTTTAAAGACATCTTTTTCAATAGCACGGTACCTTGAAGTGTATCTACGTACGAACTTTATGTGGTAATGTATCTACATACGTAAGGTAGGTTGCAGGGCTTCCCATCCTGGGGTTGCCAATTGGCACTGTGTGGGTTGCCATGCGAAGAGATAATAAACGAAAAATTGAACCTTTGACCTTCTCGTAATGAACTTCAAGTTTTTAATTTTTTCATTGTCATTTACTTAACGTAACTACAAGTTTATTTCCTTAGTTCAACGGTTCACTCGGTATTATCATCAAACATTTAGAAGTTGTTTTGTTTTTTTTGTTTTTTTGTTTTTTAAATCTCTTCAAATTTTAAACGCATTGTTACTTCTGTAAGGAGTGCGAGAGTTAGTCAAACAATTCTTATGTTGAGCAGAATATATGACTGGTTGGGAAACTCATTTACCATGGATTTCAACGGGGAATGGTATGTACTTGGAATATGGCTGATGATATTTTTTCTTTTATTAAGAGAGTCGGACGTCATTGACGATGCGTATTACGCAAGAATTTCAGATAATGTCATAGCTGAAAGAAGAAGCATGTAACACACAGTTGTAACCGGCACTGACAGAGGGAACACGGGTAACACACAGTTGTAATCGGCACTGACAGAGGGAACACGGCTAACACACAGTTGTAACCGGCACTGACAGAGGGAACACGGGTAACACACAGTTGTAACCGGCACTGACAGAGGGAACACGGGTAACACACAGTTGTAACCGGCACTGACAGAGGGAACACGGGTAACACACAGTTGTAACCGGCACTGACAGAACAAAATCTTCAACTATCAGGCCAATTTCAAAAATAAATCAAAGCAAAAGTTCAACTTTTTGAAGTCTTCATTATTGTTTTTTTTTTTTTAAATTGTAATTATATGTGATGTGTCTAACTGAACTGATCGTTTGCAATGCATTGATTTTCAGGTTAGATATGGCGTGTTGCCATGGAAACTGACACATTTTTGGGCGTACCGTGTGACGTGTTGCCATGGAAACTGAGAAATTTGTAGGGAGTTTTTCAACAAAACACAAATTTTTTGGACTTGAAAAGCTAAACTTTTATTTTTTTTTTTTATTATTTCATTAAATTTAATCAAAGATTTTAACCTCTGGTATAATATGTGTGATATCAAGATGTGCCCGGAAATAATTTCGGGTCAGCATCAATGTTCCCTCTAAGGTTTCCTGGTTCGTGCGCAAAATCATACAGTTGTGTGCAAAGTTTTACAGCATCAATTTTTTCGTGTGCAAAATTTTTCAGCCCACAAACACACACTTATATAGAAATTTGCTGCGCGGATACTTATAACTGCTGCGCGGCGTCTGTGAGATAGCAGCGCGGCCGCGCAGCCGCGCAGCTAAAAGGGAACATTGGTCAGAATCCGTCCCAAATAATGTGATCTCTAATATTTAATGACTTTGAAATGGAAAATGTTGTGTGGTTTGCAATGAGAGTTTGGGGCTAGGACGGGGGACTTTCTTTCTTATTGATATTAAACTTGCCCCCCCCCCCCCGCTTTGTGTGCACTTTGGAGACCTATAAGATGTGCGCTTTATTATAGCTTCACCTGTATGTTCACCAGCATGTTCACCTGTGGGTTAGATGATGAAAGATGCAAGCGCCCGAAGTGTACACGGCACTTGTACGAGTACACATCTGCACAACACGACGCGTGCGCAGAAACTAAGTTGAAAGTTCCCCTGTTAAACACCAGTGCACAATAGCTGCACCCCCATGTCAGACCACTTGCCCACATGCTCGCTGCACCCCATATCAGCCCTCTTGCCCGCATGCTCGCTACGGGTCGTGAGATCACTCATCCAGCGCTCAGCTGATATTCGCCACGCTCCACTACAATCTTCTTCCAACAATTTCATAACATCTTTTTTAGCCCGAATTGTGAGATCGCATTTGGAAACTTTCTTGTTTAAAAAAAATGTTATCGTGTTAGAGCCTTAGAGATTAATTCGCTATATATAGAATCATCACAAATGAAAACATCCATACATCTAAGCATACATTAGCATGTCCTTTTTGGTTAGGAGGGTCTATGAACATGCATTACCGCTCTGGGCTGCATGCTATTTGTGGTTGACGACCTTCAAAATGGTATGCAATAGAACAGGCCAGCACAACTCAAAATGTAAGGCGGGCCGTAATACTTTATGAAAAACTTGATGCGGGCCGTAATACTTTATGAAAAACTTGATGCGGGCCGAAGGAAAATAGGACAGTGGGAAAATCTATTAAGAAAATAATTTTAAACATTTTAAACGTTTTGTTTCTTCGCGGGCCGCAAATTGGGCGCTGGCGGGTCGCATGTGGCCCGCGGGACGTATGTTGTGCAGGCCTGAAATAGAAGGGTCACTGCCATGATAAGAAGGTAAGAAAACTGACAAGACTTAAAAGTTTATATTTTATTGTTTAGGAGTCTTTTAACACACATTTCCCCTCACTTTACTTCTCTCTCTCTCTCTCTCTCTCCTCTCTCTCTCTCTCTCTCTCTCCCCCTTTCTCCCTCTCTCTCCCTCTCTTTCTCTCTCTCTCTCCCTCTATATTTTTTTCTCTCTCTCACACACTCTATCTCTCTCTCTCTCTCTCTCTCCTCTCTCTCTCTCTCTCTCTCTCCCCCGCTCTCACTCTCTCTGCCTCTCTGTACTTCTCTCTCTCCCTCTATATAATTTTCTCTCTCTCACACACACAATATGTCTCTCTCTCTCCTGACTTTCTATCATTTCATAGTTCCTTCCCTCTCTCCCTCTCTCTCTCTCTCTCTCTCTCTCTCTCTTCCCTCTATGTGTCTGTCTCTCTATGTCTCCTTCTTTCAGGTTTCATATCCATAAAGATGTTAATCCACTCTTCTCTAAATTAACCAAAATTAAGTGAAGACATGTTGTTTAAATCTCTCAAGGGTTTATAGTCCACTACACCGACTGTTGAAAGACGCTGTTCCCTCGGTCAAAATGGTACATGAACTTTCCCACTAGCTCCAGCAATACAGGTTTGAGTGACTGGCTGGCTGACTAACTGACTGACTGACCGCCTGGCTGACAGACCGTCTGACCCCCTCCTCCCCCCCCTCCCTTTTCCCTTCTATAGCCTGAAACTAAGGACTCGGTCACGTGAACGGTCTCTTTGGTGCGTCCACCTAGGTCGCCCAGTAACTGTTAGCTGACGGACTTCAATGGAAGTAATTTTAGTGGTGGTCGTAAAAATGTCTCATCTTCTTGTGTTTCATTTCATCGGCTAAAATGACATCAGCTTTATGTTGCATATACTGCATAGTTTCAAGGGACACAACCCTTGTGATTTGCCCTTGCCGTAGTCCCATTACCAGCGACTTATTAATAGAGTGTTATTTTTTTTTAAATATTATTTGTCAATTCCAGTACAAATAGTCGACACTTCCTTTCTCGTCTCGTGGCAAAGAGATGTTATGTTCCTAAAAATTTAATCCAAATTTCGAAACCATGATTTCCATTTTTTCCTCTATTTAAGTTTTAACTTTTTTAACTTCATATTATCGTTAATTAAGTGGGATAATATTTAACTTAACACGGAATTTCGATTATTTCAATTCAAATGGTTACCGCTATCGAATCACTTGCTAGAAGTGACGATGTACTAGCTGGCACGGACCGCTATTCTTTGAGACATGACCTCCTCCTCATCATCATCATCATCAGTGGTGCTACAGCCCATGCAGGGCTAAGGCCTGCTCCACGAACTTCTTCCATTATTTCGGACCGCTCCAAGGGATTTCATCTCCATGCTTCCATCTCTACATCATCAATCCTCCACCTCGGTCGACCGTTAAGCCGTCGGCCCATGGGTTTCTGTCTGTCTAAGACACAGCCTAGTCTGCTGATTTTTTTATTCTTTCACCGTTTCATGAATTGTCAATTTGCTGAAATTTTAAACACAGCCAGAATAAAATAGACGTAGTCTTTTGATAGGTTGTTGATTTTTTTTTTTTTTCAGATTCGCACAGAATGACAAGAAAAATCTTTAATTTACTGATAAATGCAGATAATCAAAAATCGTTTTAAGGCATTATCCCCCCCCCCCCAAATTACCCCCCCCTTTCATATTTAATAAAGATGGCAAAGCGATCAGCCTATAGATTCCATGTCTAAATTATTTGTTCACTCCGTGCCTCCCAGGCTGTCTGGCGTACAACAAGACGCTCTACGTTTCCATCGAGGCCGAATCAAGACTGATGCGGGATCTGCTCACTGATTACGACAGACGGGTCAGGCCGGTGCAGAGACCTTCAGACACTGTCCACGTCTCCTTCGGCCTGGGCCTCAAAGCCTTGTTGTTTGTGGTAAGTGATGTTCTTACATTTTTCAGTAGCAGTGCTGAGTACTTTAATTCATGCTGCCAGGGAGCCCTCCAAAAATTACGCCCCCCCCTCCCTCCCCCGACACACACATCATTTATGTAATTTTATGTAAATCCCGAATGTGTCGCTGCTTCGCATAACCTAGGTAAGCAACTGGTAAGCAGTGGTCCTCACATCGTTATCTGTGGTAAAGTGGTCTTGATCTATATTATCTAAAGCTTACAAAGAACAGCTCTGACTTAGCCCTACACCAGTGCCTTAATTGGACGTTATGTCATACACCAGTGCCTTAGTTGGACGTTATGTCATACACCAGTGCCCTAGTTGGGCGTTATGCCAGACACCAAGGCCCTAAAAGGACGTTATGCCAGACACCAGGTCCCTGGTTGGGCGTTATGTCATACACCAGTGACCTAGTTGGACTTTAAGCCCTACACCAGTGCCTTAGTTGGACGTTATGCCCTACACCAGTGCCTTAGTTGGACGTTATGCCCTATAACCAGTGTCCTAAATGGACGTTATGCCCTACATCAGTGCCCTACTTGGACATTATGCCAGACACCAGTGCCCTAGTTGGATGTTATACCATACACAGTTACCGTAGTTTGAATGTATGCCATAAACCAGTGCTCTAGCTTGACCAAAGTTTTAAACGTATTGTGTTAAATTTCAATGTGGTCATCACCAAAATATCTATCCTTTTATCAGACTCTCCTTCTCTGGAGACATATTTTTAAACACGTTCATTTCAATCGATTACCAACAATTTCTTATTCGATTATTCGGCAGGATGAAAAGCGCGAGTACATGGAGACGGTATCGTACATGCTGACAGCGTGGCACGATGGCCGACTCATGTGGAACATGTCCCAGTACGCCGGTATCGATACGATCAAGATCCCTGCGGTCGATCTCTGGACTCCAGACATTGTGCCGTACACCAGGTTAGTGTTTCAGGACACAGGCGGAAGTGGATTAGTTGTCACAATGATTGTGCCATCCGACTGTATATAAATATATATATATATATATATATATATATATATATATATATATATATAAATCTTATATAGAACCATACTTTTGTCCATGCCCTTTATGCCCCCTTCTAATTTTAAAAAAAAAATATTTTGAATAATTTCTTCTTTTTAGGTTCATGATATTGAAGCATTTCTATTTCCCTACTTTCTGACACCATCGCTGTATTGTCTTTATGAAAACATTATTTAATGCTGCAATATAATCTTAGGGTTAACCCCCATCAACCGTTTTTTAAAGCTTCATATTAACTTCGCCTTCGTTCGTGTGTTTCCGGGCGGGTAGAGAAATCTTCGGACGGCTACTTGACCCACTTCCCGCCAACCCGCTGAAACTTGGCACATAGACTCCTGGCCGATGACAACAAAACCTTTCAAATTTTCAGCCCACGACCCTAAAAATCAGTTGTTCCTGTTTTTTTTTCAAGGGAAAGAGGCAGGAAATGTGATGCCACTTATTCCTGATAACTGCACTAAATGATATTGTTAATAAAGTTCAGGGGCGTGGAAAAAATGTGTGGTTGCGAGGCTTGGAGGGGGGGTGGGGGGTGTTGAATAATTGGGATTCCTATAAAGTTCGTTACTTGTTTGCATTTTTTGTCAAATTTTCACCAAAATTTTATAATGGATTTTTACGAATATAAATCCTTTATATTAACTTCTTTTTTGTTCGTGTGTTTCTGGCTACGTTTGTGGGGGGGGGGGTGCTGTGGTCCGTTAATTTTTTTTTTCATGCATTATGCAATTCCATTCCATTAACCATCCAATATTTCACCAGCCAAATTTCCTATGACATTTCCCTGCTTATTCTGTTACTCCCCCCACCCCCACCCCCCACCCCCACCCCCCAAATGTACAGCTCGCCAAATCTTATAAACACCAGCCAGCCGAATTTCCCCAACCCATTGTACGTTCAAATTACGGTGACCGGACCATGGTCCTTTATTTTCACCTTCACTACCCACGCTGGCCCTGAGACTTACAAAGTTTGACAGCACATAAGCAGGAAATCTGGCAATGCCCCATGGTTAATAATAGCGTTATTTACATACGATGCTCACAGGAGATGGCCCGAGGCCTGGCAGAAGACGAAGTGCAAAAGTGTGGGGGGGGGGGGCAGAGGGTTCGAGTCTCCACCCACCGACAACCTGCCCTTTACGTTAGACGTTGTTCTTGAGATGTTTGTGATTTTGAACATTTCGTATTTTTGCACAAAGATTTTGCCTGGCAGAAGACGAAGTGCAAAAGTGTGGGGGGGGGGGGCAGAGGGTTCGAGTCTCCACCCACCGACAACCTGCCCTTTACGTTAGACGTTGTTCTTGAGATGTTTGTGATTTTGAACATCTCGTATATTTGCACAAAGATTTGTAGCGGCGAGTGAGCTAAGTTTATATAAACGGGGCCAGGGCGGTGAACGCATTAGTTACGCCGCGGGGGGAAACGAGGGGGGGGGAGAACCGCATCCACCTGAGTTGATAACAGCCAGCTCCTGGCGCAGAGGGTACGTTACGACCAGCTCCTGGCGCAGAGGGTACGTTATGACGCTATCGCAACGCCCAAATTCACTTACAGCTAATCAGTCAGAGTGCAAGAATTCAGTAAGTTAAGACAATCACAGAATTCACGCAATGTGGGGGTGGGACGCATGGCTGTGTCCTGGGTAGATTCGTATGCATTAAATAGAAGCATGGCTGTGTCCTGGGAAGATTCGTATGCATTAAATAGACGCATGACTGCGTCCTGGGTAGATTCGTATGCATTAAATAGAAGCATGGCTGTGTCCTGGGTAGATTCGTATGCGGTACCTGGGTGTCTACCTAGATGGAAGACTAACTTTTGAAAGTCATATTAACATGCTATGCAAGGCGATTTTTCTAGAGCTGCGCAGGATTAGTCACATCAGGCCCTTCCTAACAATTGATGCAACAAAGAGGCTGATGTCTGCATTTGTGCTATCACGCATGGACTATTGCAATGCTCTTATGGTGGGTCTTCCAGCTACGCTCCTGGATAAAATTCAAATAGCACAGAATAATGCGGCTCGCATTGTTCTCCGCAAACGCAAGTTTGACCATGCAAAAACACTTCTGAGAGAGCTGCACTGGCTGCCAGTGCGTGCTCGCATGGAGTACAAAATCGCAACTTTGTGCTACCGCTGCTTACATGACCTGGCGCCGTCCTATCTGAAAGAGCTGCTGACGCCTTATGTACCCACTAGAGAGCTCCGCTCATCCGATAGTGGCAAACTCTCGACACCACGTGTTTGCCTTGAGACTTACGGAAAGCGCACTTTCGCATTTGCTGGTCCACTAATTTGGAATGCCCTTCCTGTCGATCTCAGAAACAACCAGACACTGGAGTCCTTTAAAACCGATTTAAAGACACATCTATTTCGCAAACACCTTCTGGGATGATTGTCAACATTATTTTCCAGTTAATGCATAATGGCTGTGTTGCTTATGGTTGAAATGGCTAGAAAGACTTTGCCATTGTATGCTTGTACTTAGTTTTTGTCGTGTTGCGTTTGTTTTAAATGTGGTAAACTATAGATTTGTTTTTTGTTGACTTTATACCGCGCTTCGAGCCTTTGTGGATGAAGCGTGTTTTTGAAATGAACTTTATTATTATTATTATTAAATAGATGCATGGCTGCGTCCTGGGTAGATTCGTATGCATTAAATAGACGCATGACTGCGTCCTGGGTAGATTCGTATGCATTAAATAGAAGCATGGCTGTGTCCTGGGTAGATTCGTATGCATTAAATAGACGCATGGCTGCGTCCTGGGTAGATTCGTATGCATTAAATAGACGCATGACTGTGTCCTGGAATTGCCGTTGTAGGTCAACTTGAGCAAGCTTGGGGGGGGGGGGTGGGGGGGGGGGGGGGGGGGGGGGGCATTGGATGCAATCGTCCATCTTGAAGGCTAAAAATCGCATATTTGAAAAGCCATACACATAAAACATGTTTATATTCGTAATAGGATCCAAAGATTTGAACCATTCCCCCATACCACCCATAGCGTTAACCTAACTAGAATTGGATTTATGCCGCTGAGGGGGATTCGAACCCATATGGGATTCGAGCCCCGGTTGTATTCGAACCTTTTGAGATTCCTGTTTGACTCCCCAGCACTAAGATTCTATTCCTGATATACTCTGCCCCTACAAGCTTCGATTCCTAATGGTTTCGGTCTCAGTGGATTAAGTCACTAACGCCACGGTTACTGCTTTATGAACAGATCCTATACAGTCGTAATGTCTTCAAGGGATAAGTCTGGGATAAAGCCATGGGGCATTACATCACAGTAAGAGATAAGTCTGGGTTAAAGCCATGGGACATTACATCACAACCAGAGATAATCTTGGGATAAGCCATAGAGTCTTACGTCACAGTTCTCTTTCTTTCTTTTTTTCCCCCTTATCCCTTCAACGATTAAAACGGCGTAGATATTCTAGCCTTGCAACGTCTCTAGAGAACTCGAGAACCTCTCTGTAACGCTTTTATCAAACATCGCTAAAGGTGGACCACCCATTGGCGCTATATATATGTCACATGAGATCAGCTTCGATCAGGAGAGATTTGCGGGCATCTCCTGGGGCTATGGCATGCAGGACCATTGGGTGCGGGACGGGGGGGGGGGCATTTTTTGAATTTTTAACTTCACAACTTTTTATTGTCGTCTGCAAATGTTTAAAATAAAGAACATGAGATTTGTTTAGAAACGTTCAGCTCGTCAGCGTGCTTCATCTTAGTCGCTCTGAGATGATTTCTGGACAATGCGGCTTGCAATATCAGTTCAAATGTTCTTTAAGGGGGGCTTGGTGTGGGACGCAAAAATATATCTGGCTGCATGAATCTTCACAGGGACCAATCTCTCTCTTTCCTTCTCTTTCTCTTTCTCTTTCTCTTGCTCTTTCTCTCTCTCTCTCTTTCTCTCTTTCTCTCTATCTATCTATCTATCTATCTATCTATCTATCTATCTATCTATCTATCTATCTATCTATCTATCTATCTATCTATCTATCTATCTATCTATCTATCTATCTATCTATCTATCTATCTATCTATCTNATTGTCTTACACTTATTGTCTTGTGCTATATCCCTCCATTGTCTTACACTTATTGTCTTGTGCTATATCCCTCCATTGTCTTACACTTATTGTCTTGTGCTATATCCCTCCATTGTCTTACACTTATTGTCTTGTGCTATATCCCTCCATTGTCTTACACTTATTGTCTTGTGCTATATCCCTCCATTGTCTTACACTTATTGTCTTGTGCTATATCCCTCCATTGTCTTACACTTATTGTCTTGTGCTATATCCCTCCATTGTCTTACACTTATTGTCTTGTGCTATATCCCTCCATTGTCTTACACTTATTGTCTTGTGCTATATCCCTCCATTGTCTTACACTTATTGTCTTGTGCTATATCCCTCCATTGTCTTACACTTATTGTCTTGTGCTATATCCCTCCATTGTCTTACACTTATTGTCTTGTGCTATATCCCTCCATTGTCTTACACTTATTGTCTTGTGCTATATCCCTCCATTGTCTTACACTTATTGTCTTGTGCTATATCCCTCCATTGTCTTACACTTATTGTCTTGTGCTATATCCCTCCATTGTCTTACACTTATTGTCTTGTGCTATATCCCTCCATTGTCTTACACTTATTGTCTTGTGCTATATCCCTCCATTGTCTTACACTTATTGTCTTGTGCTATATCCCTCCATTGTCTTACACTTATTGTCTTGTGCTATATCCCTCCATTGTCTTACACTTATTGTCTTGTGCTATATCCCTCCATTGTCTTACACTTATTGTCTTGTGCTATATCCCTCCATTGTCTTACACTTATTGTCTTGTGCTATATCCCTCCATTGTCTTACACTTATTGTCTTGTGCTATATCCCTCCATTGTCTTACACTTATTGTCTTGTGCTATATCCCTCCATTGTCTTACACTTATTGTCTTGTGCTATATCCCTCCATTGTCTTACACTTATTGTCTTGTGCTATATCCCTCCATTGTCTTACACTTATTGTCTTGTGCTATATCCCTCCATTGTTTTACACTTATTGTCTTGTGCTATATCCCTCCATTGTCTTACACTTATTGTCTTGTGCTATATCCCTCCATTGTCTTACACTTATTGTCTTGTGCTATATCCCTCCATTGTCTTACACTTATTGTCTTGTGCTATGATCGTTAACTTTGTTTCCCACCGCGACCATTGAGGCTCTCTATAATCGTTAACCTTGTTACCCACCGCGACCATTGAGGCTCTCTATAATCGTTAACCTTGTTACCCACCGCGACCATTGAGGCTCTCTATAATCGTTAACCTTGTTACCCACCGCGACCATTGAGGCTCTCTATAATCGTTAACTGTGTTTCCCACCGCGACCATTGAGGCTCTCTTCTGTTTTCCTTGATCTTTGTCTTTGTTCGTATTTCATTTTTTTTTAAACACATCTCCATTGTCTCGCCACCCAGTCTCTCGGTGATAATTCAATACTAATTATTTAAAAGCCTGTTTCGCATGGAGACTTGGCACCCACTCATCCGTGACTGACTTCGGTGCTTAAACACACGTATCCCGTGGGCGAACTCGTGTAGAGCAGACATTCAAAAGAACTCGGGGATGTATTTTACGACCTTGAACTCATAAAACACTCGACACCGAACGAGTATGACGTCATGGTTGGGTTTTTAGATTTAAAAAAAATTGTAATGATGTAACTTTATTACGTTTTGTAAATGTTGTCTGTAATGAAATAAAATGAATGCAATGTTTGCATGTGTTTGGCTCAATTCAAACGCATTCAGATTCAAAATAGAACAACTTTAGTTTTTAGGAAGTGGATGAAAAGTATGAATTAAATGAGCTCAAATGTTTGCGTTCGTTGCTTGAATGATTGGTAAACTCGGATTTTGCGTTGTATCTGTGAGACGAAGTGTGTGACATGGACATTTTGTCGGTTAAGTGTGTGACATGGACATTTTGTCGGTTAAGTGTGTGACATGGAAATTTTGTCGGTTAAGTGTGTGACATGGACATTTTGTCGGTTAAGTGTGTGACATGGACATTTTGTCGGTTAAGTGTGTGACATGGACATTTTGTCGGTTAAGTGTGTGACATGGACATTTTGTCGGTTAAGTGTGCGACATGGACATTTTGTCGGTTTCTATGTTTGTTGGGGTTTTTTTATTATTTTTTTTTTTTTTGCCTTTTTTACAAACTAAAACTATAGTTTTATAATTGATAATACATTTAGTTTTAATATATCCTAAAAAAAAAATAACATTCGGTTTCTATGTTTGTTGGGGTTTTTTTATTATTTTTTTTTTTTGCCTTTTTTACAAACTAAAACTATAGTTTTATAAGTGATAATGCATTTAGTTTTAATATGTGCTAAAAAAAAAATAACGTTGTTCGTGGACCTGTTAATACCGGTCCTCAACCTACCCACGGACCAGCAGCTGAATTTATACTCGAGATGTGAGTTAAAGCTTTCAGCTGTAATACGAAAAAAATAATAAATAACGCCAAAAAAAAATCTTCCACACTACATCCTCTCATTCCACGGTATTCAATCAATCCACAGTATCCACTCAATCCATATATCCACTCAATCCACAGTAACCCCTCGTTCCACGGTAAATTCCACAGTATTCTATCAAACCTCGGTATTTATTCATTTCGTCGTATCCTACCTTTCCAATCCATTTCCATGTTTCATAATGGAAAGAAATGGTTTGTCTCGAATCTTTCAAATAACTTTATTTTTTTATTTTTAGTGGAGACGCTGACGTCATTCAGCCGAAGCCATTAAAAAAAAAACATCTCCAATTTAAAATTCTGTCAAGATTCCCGGGTGCGGAACAATTATATAATGTTATTTTCATCGATCAATAGGCTTAAGGATTTTTTTTTAATTGAATATAATAATAATAATATAGGAACGCTAAAGGCTCGTTTTGAAAATTACCTGCCTCTCAAGTACGCACTAAACAATGGAAGACATCACTGCGCAATTAGGCTTCTACTTGGTGGAGTGGATAAAAGTTGAATCTCCCCATCTAAGCGGGCTCCCCTTCGTTTAGATCTATTCATGATTTGACGCCATTCATGGTTGATGAAAATGTTCCATGAGTTATATGTTTTTGAGGGAGGGGAATGGAGTGTTGGTTTGAGTAGCGCATGTGTCAAATGAAAAAAAAATGTGAGACAACGAAAGAAATGGTGTGCATATTTGGAGTAAAGGCTTGATAGCGTTGACTTAAAGGGACATATTTGTAAATATTTTGCCAAGGCACCAATATTTGAACAAAATGACCACATTTGACCAAGGTGCCAATATTTGACCAAAGTGCCAAAATGTGACCAAGGTCATTTGACCAAGGTGTCAAAATTTGACCAAGGTACCAACATTTGACCAAGATGCCAATATTTGACCAAAGTGCCAACATTTGACCAAGGTCATTTGACCAAGATATCAACATTGAACCAATGTACACATTTGATCAAGGTGTCAACATGTGAACAAGATACCAAAATTTGACCAAGGTGAAAAACATTTGACCAAGATGCCAATATTTAACCAAGGAGCTAACATTTGACCACTGTGACAACATTTGACCAAGGTTTCAAACTTTGACCAATGTGCCAACATTTGACCTAGGTATCAAAATTTGATGATGCAAATATTTGACCAAAGGGTCCACATTGAACCAATGCGCCACAATGTGCCGCCATAAATATAAGAAGGAGTGCCTCCCGGGACGGACCGCCCATTCCATCCCTCCCCCATCCCCCATATCCCTTAAATCACTGGTTGCCCGTGAGGAAAATTATTGGGTTGCTATCACTTCTTGGATTGAACGTAAGGTGACGCTAAGTGTAGCTTTCGAGTGTCGACTTAATTATTCAAGAGGTCGTGCTTGAACGCTCGGCTCTCAATACATTGGATGCCCTGTATGCTGGTTGAGAGATTCGATGAAAATAAAAATTTGAGTTGTGAATCGCGTATTATAAGGGGAAATGTCCTTTATCAATCAAGCTGCCAGTTAGGACAAGTGGACGACACACACACACACACACACACACAAACACACACACACACACATAAAAAATGCCAGGTCATTAGCATTAATGTCGACAACATTTTAAGATTGATTTTATTGTGTTTCCCATTATTATGGGAGAGGGGTTTTTTTTATTATTTTGGGGGAAATTTTCCATGATTGGAATGTTCGAGCATTTTTAAATCTTTAAAAAAAATTAATTAAAATAACTTGTATTGGATGTTTACGTGCAAAACAATGCACGTGCTGTGACCATGGTCTCCCAGCTGATAGCAGACGACCCTTCTCTTGGCGATGAGTTTGATTATTTAATTTTTCAATGATTGCTATCCCTCAAAACTTAAAGAAACGACAAATATATATTTCATTATTCTGTAGATAATATTTTCAAGAAAGGATCAGATGTAACTGTCATCATTTATGACGAGTACTTCTCAGTCCCTCTTCTTTCAACAGCCCCCCCCCCCAACCAGTACCTCAGAGTGATCCTCTCAATCAGGAACTTTATCATGTAATACTTGTTAGTAACATTCACACAATTTGAAATTTTGCATTAAATACTCCACACANTTATAATTTTATTATTTTTTTTTTTTTTTTTTTTTTTTTCTTTCCAAACATACATTATCACATTAACGCGTTTAATGTCGTTAAGAGATTAAATCTAACATTAATGTATTTTGCTATTGAATTATTATTTTTATATTGAAGCTTGTGTGGGCTTGTGTGGGCTTGTGTGGGCTTGTGAATTCAAACAGAAATATTAGAACAGGCGATTTGGTCATTTCTTTTCTTTTCTTTTTTTCTTTCTTTTTTATTGAAGATATTTGCGTGCAGCAATAGATCTTGGACTTTTTTTTTTTTTTAAACTAGATCAACTCGTCTGTGGCATTTCTCTGATGTAATGATCCGTAAAAGGTAATTTCAATAATTGTGATACCGCACGCTTAACCTATGTGGTGTGGTGGAGGAAAGCTTACCCTATAAGGTGTGGTTGTGTGTCGCTTACCCTACGCGGTTTGGTTGTGGGACGTTTACCCTATGTGGTGTAGTTGTGGGGACACTAACCCTAAGTGGTGTGGTTGGGAGACATTTACCCTATGTGGTATAGTTGTGGGGACACTAACTCTTTGTGATGAGGTTGGGAGACGTTTACCCCATGTGGTGTGGTTGGGAGACGTTTACCACATGTGGTGTGGTTGGGAGACACCCTTTGTGGTGTGGTTGGGAGACACTTACCTTTTGTGGTGTGGTTGGGAGACGTTTACCCTTTGTGGTGTGGTTGGGAGACGCTTACCCTTTGTGGTGTGATTGGGAGACGTTTACCCTTTGTGGTGTGATTGGGAGACGTTTACCCTTTGTGGTGTGGTTGGGAGACGTTTACTCTTTGTGGTGTGATTGGGAGACGGTTACCCTTTGTGGTGTGATTGGGAGACGTTTACCCTTTGTGGTGTGATTGGGAGACGTTTACCCTTTGTGGTGTGATTGGGAGACGTTACCCTTTGTGGTGTGGTTGGGAGACGTTTACCCTTTGTGGTGTGGTTGGGAGACGTTTACCCTTTGTGGTGTGGTTGTGTGTCGCTTACCCTACGCGGTGTGATTGGGAAACGTTTACCCTTTGTGATGTGGTTGGGAGTCAGATGGGTGTGGGGTGGTTGGGTAAATCAAATTTATCAACTAATGAAGTTTGACATTTTGATGGGTGAAAGTGAAGTGTGGCAGGTGGGTGGGTAAAAGTGAAGTGTGGCAGGTTCGTGGGTACAAGTGAAGTGTGGCAGATTGGTGGGTACAATTGAAGTGTGGCAGATTGGTGGGTACAAGTGAAGTGTGGCAGGTTGGTGGGTTCAAGTGAAGTGTGTCAGGTTGGTGGGTCATGTGAAGTGTGGAAGATTGGTGGGTACGAGTGAAGTGTGGCAGATTGGTGGGTACAAGTGAAGTGTGGCAGATTGGTGAGTACAAGTGAAGTGTGATACGTTGGTGGGTCATGTGAAGTGTGGCAGATTGGTGGGTACAAGTGAAGTGTGGCAGATTGGTGGGTACAAGTGAAATGTGGAAGGTTGGTGGGTACAAATGAAGTGTGGCAGGTTGGTGGGTCATTTGAAGTGTGGCAGAATGGTGGGTAAAAGTGAAGTTGGGCAGATTGGTGGGTAACTATGTATTGTGACACAATAAATCGTACAAGTGAAGTTAGGCTGATTGACATGTTCAAAATTTACGAGTGACAGATTTGCACATCATGTCTTTCCTTGATTCTAGCTTCGTGCTTGTTTTCTCTGAACCCCTTTCCTGATCTATGGCGCTTCACCCCCCACCCCACCCCACACACACACTTTTTTCCTTTATCTTGTTCTTCATTCTTCTGTCAATCTCATTCTTGCTTCCAGCGTCCGTCCATCTTTTAACGTGTTGTCTACGTCATTCAATGCTCCCCCCCCACCCCGGTATGTCCGTCTGTACCAATATTGCTTCAGTCGTACTCGGGTCAATCAACAGTAGGGGCCGACTGTTGCCTCTGTAAATATGATCAACCAGTCTATGGCGGTACGAAATCAATGTTCAGCTGTAAGCCGGACTCGTCAGCGAAGGGCTTGTCAACCATGCCGGCTGATGGGAACTCTTGTCCGAAAGACGGGATCTATAGTAGTGGTCGGATTGGCTGATGTCATGTCAGAGTTAAGGACACTTACTTTTTGGAGGAGTTACGGACACTTACTTTTTGGGGGAGTTACGGACACTAACTTTTTGGAGGAGTTACGGACACTTACTTTTTGGAGGAGTTACGGACACTTACTTTTTGGGGGAGTTACGGACACTTACTTTTTGGAGGAGTTACGGACACTTACTTTTTGGAGGAGTTTCGGACACTTACTTTTTGGAGGAGTTACGGACACTTACTTTTGGGGGAGTTACGGAGCATGCCATTGAAGACTTGACTGGGCTTTTTTTTTTGGCGTTTACGGAAATGGCCATGACATTGTTAAATGAACATTTCCTCTGGTGATTTTCTTTATCGAAGTTAAAATTTGAGGAATTTCGATCTTCCTTTAGAAGCAATTCTTGACCTCTTCATACTAAGAGTTTGGCTTCTTCGCATATGGCTTCTTCGCAAATAAATTAGACAAAGCCACGCTCTTGTGTAGAAAATACATTAATTTTGTTTTCCTCAATAGTGCGTTCAAAAATAAATTTGACGAAAATTTTATCGTGTGACCTGAGCATTAGACGGCTGTACAATACATGGTTGCTCAGTTACCGCGGTACATGTATAACCAAACAAATACACTGAAGCCTATCTTATATATCTCATACTCTAAATATATCATTTCTACACTCCCGGTTTATGTATTTGGTGTTATATAGCGGTTTTCTATTTTTTTTTAAAATGTGGTCGAAAAATTAGGAAAATAACGTGATATATCATTTCTTAATAGACAAACAATAAACATGATAGTGTTCCTTTAGATACATAAATCATAAACATTATATTTTCTCTCTCAGTACACAAGTCATATACATGATATTTTCTCTCCTAGTGCACAAGTCATATACATGATATTTTCTCTCTCAGTGCATAAGTCATATGCATGATATTTTCTCTCCCAGTACATAAGTCATAAACACGATTTTTTTCTCTCTCAGTAAACAAGTCATATACATGATATTTTCTCTCCCAGTGCACAAGTCATATACATGATATTTTCTCCCTCAGTACACAAGTCATATACATGATATTTTCTCTCCCAGTGCACAAGTCATATGCATGATATTTTCTCTCTCAGTAAACAAGTCATATACATGATATTTTCTCTCTCAGTAAACAAGTCATATACATGATATTTTCTCTCGCAGTACACAAGTCATACTCATGATATTTTCTCTCCCAGTACACAAGTTTATTAGCTCTCTCAGCAAAGATGTAGATGTCCATAATTTCTTTCTTAGTATAGATTCAGGTAGCTATATTTATAGTCTCGGTATAGATGAAGATATGCATAATTGCTCTCTCAGTAAAGATGTAGATATCAACTTGTTCTTTCTAAGTACAGATTTCGATATCCTTAATTGCTCTCTCAGTATAGATGAAGATATCCACCTGATGGAGACAATGGCTGTCATCTACGCCTCTGGTCACGTGAGTTGGATACCAACCTTACACCTCAGAAGTCCGTGCAGTGTTAACCTAAAGTACTTTCCCTTCGATGAGCAGGTTGGCACTTTGTCTTGAGTCTTAGTGTGGCGGGAAATTTTACATTTCAGAGGTGTTCCTCTGTCTTAAGAGTAGAATCATTGGCGTAGCTAGGGTTAATGCCCCCGAGGTGCAACAAACTTTTTTGCTCCCTCCCCTCCTCTTTCCAAGAAAAAAACCTCTGCCACCCTCAGTAAAAAGAGAAAAAAAGGGCCTCCCGGGGCTGACCGCCACCTCCACAAACCCATCCTACGCCCCTGATTAGAGTCAGGCATTTTCGTAAATGTTTCGTTTCACAATCAGTCCTGTTGCTTTTTTTTTTAACCGCTTGCCCTCCATTCATGTATTTTCCAGAAGTGTTCCATCAAATTCGCGAGTTACGGTTACCACGGCGACCACCTGAACATCACGTACTTTGGTAGCACTCCAGAGCACGCCTTTGATGTCAGTGACTACAGCAGCAACACAAACTGGGTCTTAAAGGATCACAAGTAAAACCGACGTTTTTTTTTTTTTTTTAACTGTTCATTTAATAGCATTAAGCACAAGGGAACTAAGTATGATATTGTTTTTCTGTTGTTTTTTAAAATCTTTTAGAGCAGCGGTTCTCGGGGGTCGAGCGACCATTTGACAAGGGTCGTATAGGACCATCGGAAAACACATGTACCCTACAGTTATGAATTAGCAAGGAAAATAGATTTATGGTTGGGGGTAACCACAACATGAGGAACTTTATTAAATGGTCACGGCCTTAGGAAGGTTGAGAACCACTGCTTTAGTGGAAGTCTTACAACAATTCTAAAAATTCAGAGCAAAAAGTCTCAATGTCAAGGTGTTATTTATCACTGAAACATTTATTTTATGTTGTTTCTATATAAGGAATTACATTTAGACAACAGTCGGACTTGCTGGTTTAAGTGTTCAACCATAATAATATGTACATCTAGTACTATGACTATATGGGTAAAGTGGCTTTTTGTGATGAAAGGAAATTTTTTTTAAGTTTTTTTTTTTGTGGCCACCTGTGTTGTTGTGGTCATCTGTGTTGTTGTGGTCATCTGTGTTGTTGTGGTCATCTGTGTTGTTGTGGTCATCTGTTTTGTTGTTGTTGTAGTCATCTATGTTGTTGTTGTAGTCATCTATGTTATTATTGATGTTGTTGTTGTGGTCATCTGTGTTGTTGTGGTCATAATTGTTGTTGTCAATCTATGTTGTTATTGTGGTCATCTGTGTTGTTGTGGTCGTCTGTGTTGTTGTTGTGGCCATCCATGTTGTTGTGGTCATCTACGCTGTTTTTGTGGTCATCTGTGTTGTTGTTGTGGTCGTCTGTGTTGTTGTTGTGGCCATCCATGTTGTTGTGGTCATCTACGCTGTTTTTTTGGTCATCTGTGTTGTTGTTGTGGTCATCTGTGTTGTTGTGGTCGTCTGTGTTGTTGTTGTGGCCATCCATGTTGTTGTGGTCATCTACGCTGTTTTTGTGGTCATCTGTGTTGTTGTTGTTTTGGTCATCTGCGTTGCTTTTTTTAAAGACTTAGTGGAGGGGTACAGGTACGTGGAAAAACCAAAGACAGAATGTCAACCCAAGACAGCATGTCAACCCAAGACAGAATGTCAACCCAAGACAGAATGTCAACCCAAGACAGCATGTCAACCCAAGAGAAGCATGTCAACCAAAGAGCATCATGTCAACCCAAGAGCAGCATTTCAAACCAAGACACCATGTCAATCCAAAAGCAGCCTTTCTAACGCAAGAGCAGCAATGTCAACCCAAGAACAGCATGTCAACCCAAGAGCAGCATGTCAACCCAAGAGCAGCATGTCAACCCAAGAGCGCATGTCAACCCAAGAGCAGCATGTCAACCCAAGAGCAGCATGTCAACCCAAGAGCTGCATGTAATCCCAAGAGCAGCATATCAACCCCTAAGGAAACTAAATTTCTTTTCATTTTATTTCCGCCCGCTCACTTTGGCCATATTTTTTTCAGAGTCGCCATTCACGTGATCAAACATGCATGCTGCCACGAGCCCTATCCCAACATGCAGTTTGACCTGACTTTCAAAAGAAACCCGGACTACTACGTCCACATGTACATCTTGCCGGCCCTCATGCTGGGAGCGCTGGTCCCCATCAGCCTGCTGATGCCACCCGAGTCTAAGGAGAGGGTCACCATAGGTTTGTTCACAATCTGGTCTTGGTGCTAGAAAGATAGTTCATAGAGGTGTAAAACAAAAATTCCACAAAAAAGCTGAGGATAATTTATTTCAATTTTCTTCTTTTAGTTGTGTCCACAGACGGGTCATCTTGGTGAAAGAAGAAACGAATTGTCTTCTTGTTTCCCCGCATATTTTTATGATGAAGTAATTTGATTATAGTTAAAGTCTGGGTTTGTTTTATAGTGGTGACTTCCTCCTTCCTCATTAATTAATGAATTTTTTTAAAATGTCCACATACGGTAAGTTCTGCTACAGATGATTGATTAGGTCTCATCTCTTCCACAGGTTGTGCTGTGGTACTTGCTGTGGTTGTTCTTGGCACCAGCCTCAGTGACACTATCCCCTTGGCTCACACCCAGCTGCCAACTTTAAGTAAGTATTGAACACCTTACCACGGGGGGGGGGGGGGGGGGGCGCAACTGAGGTTAATTGGTGGTTTATATATTTAGCAGTTAGAGAAGTGGAGGCAACTCATGATTACTTTCAAATTATATCAGACTAGAGTTGTCTGCTCACTCTCTTTGTGGTTACCTAAAGACAAGAAGAGATAGTATCTGTTGCATGCTTAGTACTTACTTACCATTTTATTATTTTCACCTGTTTATTACTGTCCATGATTTATAAATGTTCATGATTTATTACTGGCCATGGTTTATTAGTGTCAATGGTTTATTACTGTCCATGGTTAATTCTGTCCATGGTTTCTTACTGTCCATGATTTATTACTGTCCATGATTTATTACTGTCCATGGTTATTACTGTCCATGGTTTATTACTGTTCATGGTTTATTACAGTCCAAGATTATTTTTTTTCTTTAAGAGCAATTACTCAATTTCTAACGAGTATTAAGAAATAAAATACCACTTCTTAAGTAAAAGAGAACTTGATAATTAATTAGGACTATTAAAACTTTCAGACAATATTAAAGCTATGTGACAATGGGATTCCCCTAGTTTTTAAGGACATTTGTTATCCAATTAAGTCTCCTAGACGTCACTGACAGACCTCTCAAAAAAATCCTGTGGCGCCAATGATCCCAAAAGGATTTTTAATTATCCTTAGGTATGTACTACACACTTACTTTACTGTGGGCAGTGCTGTCTCTTATGGGATCAGCGTTTGTACTCAATCTCCACAACAGAGGACCAAGGCGATGCAAAGTGCCTGAAGTTGTTAGATGGGTAATTTATCAATTACGTTTTACTTTTTCTCAAATACATCATACACTAAGAGATTAGCGGGCTGCATGTGCCCAAAATGCCCAACTTTTACCTGACTCCCAATTTTTAAAAAACAAAGATATTGAAGATAGACATTTTGATCAAAGGAAATGTATCTAATTTATATTATGTTGTCATCATAGACTTTCTTACATACTTTTTTTTATTGGTTGAGTTCTTAAATGAAATAATGATGGCCTCTGCTAATCATTCTTATAAAATTAGATGAGGTAAACTGTCAATATCAAGAGTTTATGCTGTAGCAAACATGTTTGTAATTGCACTAGAGGTCAGTTTGTAACCGTGTTGCATTAACCAATCCAGTCAATTGTAGATAAATTATTGTCCATTGAATTGCCTTTTGAATATGTAGGCCTAGAAGATAGAAATATTACTTATGAATTGCAGATCTTTCTGCGTAGCCTGAAGCGCTTGGTTTGTTTGGGGAATGACAGTTACTACCCATTAACTGACCTTGATACAATCAGCATGAGAGGCCTGGACAAAACAATGGCCGCTCAGGACCGACAACCTGCCAATCCTGAACTAAGGGGAATTAACTCATCAAAAGTAGAGAAGGATATAGAGGAGATTACTAGAAATGTTAGCATATTCTGTGCTAAAATAGCTCTTCAGGTAAGTTCTTTGTTTGGCTATTTTGTGTAAGAGAACTTTGTGCATATTTAAATGTTATGTTCAATTATTTGCATTGAAAAAAAATGAACCTATTTGTGTTTTTAAATTTCACATACAACTTTTAAAAACTTAAAATTTTCTTCACATGACCACACTTTTAATAAACACTTCTCTATAAATGAAAATTGTATGGCATGGTTTTCTTTTCACTGCTGAGTTGAGATTTACCTTACACATTTTTACCAACATCATAAAACAGGAATCCATATCAATGTGATAAAAAAAAAATTCTCTTTCATACTATGGTGTGAAACAAATTTTTGTTGTAAATTTTCTTCTAAACAAAGAAATAATTTGATGTTAATCCCTGACCAAAGCAAAGTTTATACCAAAAATTATATGCACAGCCCCAACCCGAAGTTAAAAGGAAGTTGGTACAAAAAATGTTTTATCCCTGACCTGGCTAACTATGGTTATTTCATTGGTAAACTGCAACTCATCATTAGACCAAAAATTTTTTTTAGTAATAGATATAATTTCTAACTCATTAAATTAATAACCCTTCAGCTGCCCTTAAATATAGGTAGGGAGAATACTGCTTCTAGGTCCAGGGGTAAAATATAAATTTAACTTTATATTAGTATGTCAAACACCAATCACTCAACGATAATGCTTTCAATCACATTTTAATCTTCCTCAGGAGTCTCGTCAAGATGTGCTGAATGAGTGGCGTCAGGTGGCTTTAGTGGTTGACAGAGTACTGTTTTTCTTGTTTCTGCTGGTGTTCCTGATGTGCAGTGTGATACTCCTGGCGTAAAACAATTCTTCAGTTTACACCAGTATGACGTAAAATCTTTAGGTCATGCACACACAAGTACATCAAGCTAAATATGGACATTAGAGGAAAGACTATGTTCTTTTTAAAGGAACATTTCACAGGATTTGGGGGGAATTATTTATGTGGCTACTGTATCAGCACAATTGGTTAAAAGCATCCTGTTGTAAACCAATGTACTAATTAGCCATGGACTCATGTTAGGGCAGAAGTTTTGGGGTGTAATAAAATACCAAAACTCAAAAGGGTTCAAAGGCAAGAAAATTAACCCTTGGCTTCAAATAAATTCCCTTGGTCCTCTCTCATTCATGAGATTTAGTATTATGGCACTTGAAGAAGAGGGGACTTACTGGTGTCTCTCCACTGTTAAACTATCGTGATTTTGTAAGATAAAGCTTGTTTATTTGCTTCAATGTAAATTGTGTATATATGTTTGTTTTATCAATTGGAAATGGTATTTGATGTTGTGGACTGTTCTTTGTTCACATATTATATATATATATATATATTTAATTCGTAATGAAATCATATATCGTGAATATTTTTCTACCAAAAAAAATGTAATATCATTATTCAGTGGTGACCACTAAAAATTATGTTTAAAAAAATAATTAAAGTAAGATAAACAGTTGTATTGGCCTAATGTATTGGAAAAAATGGCAGTTTTCCTTTTACTATAAAATCATCTGTAATCAAATGGGTCTTTCATTTCACAGGCCAACACAAGATTTACAAGTATCTTACAAACTGTAAAACTAACAAACTAAATTTGGTATTTTTTATTTTGTAAATATTAATAATTTACAGTTTCTAGAGCTACTGTCGACAACAAAAGAGCCCTGTACATTTTGTTTAAATTTTATAATTTATTATATTTTTAACTTTTACATGGTGAAGAGTTCAAGCTTGAATGTGACACGTTCATGATCTTTTACATTATTGTTGATAAATAAGTATAGGGTTTTAAGATTCTATAAGAGTTAAGTTGGCAAGGTAAAATTTAAAAAAACTAGACTATGCCAGCATTTATAAAATAAGTTTAAATAGAACATGCCTAAAGGTAGGCCTTTTGAAAGAAGAAATATTCTAAATATTTTAACTCATTTTCCCTCATGGCAATTACACTCAATTACACTCAAGTTATTTCTTAATTTAATTATTTTTAAAGCTACTTGTGAGTTAAATAAGTTGAATTAAAACACAAAAGTTAAACATAAAATGGGACCCATTAAGAGTCTATTAACCCTACATAATATCTGAGTTGCCCTTTTAAAAAAAAAAAATTAAATCTATGTTTACATTACAATCCTTCTATTGCCTAAAGATTGTAAATTTATAATATTCTCCAATGTATCTAGTTTATAGGCCTATTGTTCTACTGTTAACTTGGTGGTAACTTCACATCATCTTGTTTGCTTGCTGTACCACAGAAGATTTTGCCAAGCTGGCATTGCTCATCTCATATTGTTATAGATTTTACCATTTTTTTAACATAGGTTTAGTGGGGGGAGGGGGGGAGGGGGTTGTTAATCTGAACAGATTTCCATTTTGGTTTAGCTTTGATCCATTATTCTGTTTTTACCTGTTAGAAGTTGTCTAATATTAATGAAACTGTAAACAAAATAATGACACATTCCATTGTCAATAGCTCATTTTCCATGACTTTCTCGAATAATCAATACAGAATTTACCCTAAAAAGTAAGTATTTTGTTTCATGATTTTGCATTTTTTGCTTTTTTTTTTCCAGTTGTGGCACTTGCAGATTGAGAAAAAAAATGTACAAGTTAAAATAAATTGTTTTTATGCATTATAATCTATGGCTCTTTTACTTGCCACAAAAACTATAATGGAGGCAGGTCATGCACTGACTCCTTTAAATATATACAAGTTGAATCTCACTAAGCCTGATAGTTAAATGTAATATTTTTTATGTTCATAGAATTAGAATTTATTTTGATAAATTTGGCTTGGCTGATCATCATCAGACTAAATTATTATGAGCTAGTTTTATTGACACTTAACCTTAATGACAGTTAGCTACCCTTAATGACAGTTACCCTTTAGCTATAATTCACAATTTGGAATATTATCAAATCTAATTAGGCTTCATTGTAGGTGCTTGAATACCTTACTTTGTAATTTCTTTCAAACAGTTCAACACATATTTCAAGATGCTTTAATAAAGTATTCACAAGCTTTGAGTCAGTCTTGTGTAAAATCTTGAAATTCCTCATCTATTAAGTCCTGTTGTCACATTTGATATATCTTTTATAGTCATTTGAAATCATCTCTCACTATGATATTGTAACTTTTCTTTTTTTTTTTTTTAAACATTTTCAACTGGTCATGAAGCACTCATCTTGTTGTGTTGTACCAATGTGGTATTAGTTCCATTTCAGTTCAAAATAAACTAATTTTTAGAAAATAATCGTATTCTTCGTTGTAAAATCTTGAAATTCCTCATCTATTAAGTCCTGTTGTCACATTTGATATATCTTTTATAGTCATTTGAAATCATCTCTCACTATGATATTGTAACTTTTCTTTTTTTTTTTTAAACATTTTCAACTGGTCATGAAGCACTCATCTTGTTGTGTTGTACCAATGTGGTATTAGTTCCATTTCAGTTCAAAATAAACTAATTTTTAGAAAATAATCGTAGTCTTCGGTGTTCTTCTTGCACCAAAACATTTTGTTATTTAAAAATAAAGCAAACATTCCTCATCGGAATCAGTTTTCTTGGAAGGGACAAAACATACTTAAATTAAATACTATCAGCAGGCTCAGTTAAAAAATTGAAAATCTGTTGTGCCCCGACTTTAAAGTTTTTAGCTAGATTTTTCGGCACATGTTGTTTTATGATTCAAATATAATCATAGGAATGACATACAATTTAACTTACAAACCAGCAAAAAAAAAAAAAATTAGGTCTCCCTTTCCTTGCCTATATTCCAAATTGTTTTTCAGGTTGCATGTAATTAGGAATTGTGTTGTTTGTTTTTTTTTATTTAGAACTCAAAATTGTAACTGGAAAACTAACACGTGTTAATGTTAAATTTTTTCCGATCCTCAGAAAAACAAATGCTGGTAAGCCTGAGAATTCAAACAACGAAACTGTTTAACCCACATGAAATTAAGAAAATTCCATTCATAATCATACACTCAGCAACCAATGAAGTGATTTAACTCTCTTGAATAAGTTTGAAGAATTTTATTAGAAGCACAAAACAAGCCATAAATTAAAATAGCTGCAAAAAAATTAAATAGTTCTTTAACTTTGAAACCAAATAAAAACTGGTCGTAGCCTTAGAGAGGCTAAATATTGACATCGACAAATAGAAATATCAATGAAATATTCCTTGGCAAAATGACAGGATGAAATACAATAATTGGCTTTTTAAAAATATTTATGTAAATGAAAATTTAGTAAATAATATAAATATAATTATGTTAAAATTAACATAAAATATTTTTATAAACATTATTTCAAAGCTGCATTATTTCAACATTTTAAAATCAGAAATTGTTTATAAAATTTTTGAGCTTAGTTATTGTAGCTTTGAATTTTAATATTTACCCAGTTCATCCAGAGCTTATTATTATGTAGGCGTTTATATTATTATTATTATTTTTAATTTTTTTTCGTATTAAAAACCTAACAACCCTATTATTTTCAATAAGTGTGTTTTATAAAAAATCTTCCAGAGCAAGATGGGTTTAATATTGTATGACCCCCTAATTCATATCAATATTTTTTTAATTAGCAGATCAAAGGTTGCAGGCTATTTATCATTTACTATTTTATGTGTATGCATTAAAAAAAAAAAAAAGTTGTAATGTAAATAAATTAATAGTTCTTTTACTGTATCATTAAAAATATTACACTTGGGAATGGGAAGATCACCATTATGCAATTACAAATTTTTTAACATGTTACAGCCATATACTGATTATTTATCACTTTGAGTTTTAAAAATGTCTCACCTTATAAATTTTAAAGAACAAATAAATATTAACTTTAAAAAATTTTCAGTGCATTTACATGCATAATAAATCTCCCTGCAACTTCTTAAGGCATTCAGCAAAAAAAAAAAACAAAAAAAAACAATTGTAAATCAAATAACTTAAGAGCACCATTAGATGATTATAAATATGCAGTAAAAGCTGATTAAGACACATGTTTAAAAAGTGTTAGGACAGAGTCCTTAAACAAAAATCTTTTTTGAATTATTTGAATGCCTATTCATAGGTATATTGTCTCAGTCCAAATGTTGTGTATATAAGGGATGACCCATTGAAATAGTTGTTACCATTACTTCAGCAATTTTTTTTAAATTTCACCTATAGTTAAAAAACAACCCTTTATATTCAGAACAGCAGCCCTGCAATATTCAACTGATAATTGTACAGCTCTATACTGCTCTATCATTTCAGAAAAAGCCATAAGACTTCTGTATTAAACAAGCTAGAACTAATATTTCAATGTTAGGCAGTTTGAAGACTGAGAAAGTTCCATTATAACTACTGCTTGTGTCTGACCTGTTAATCATGATGACAGTCACACACAGTAATGGCTGCATGACAAGTGCCACACAGCTTCTGCATAAAAATAACTCAAGTTGACAGATGAGATCTACATAGTGTGCTCATTTACCCAAGTAAAAAAAAAATATCTTCTTAAATGACTGGTGCATTAATCATATTGGTATAGTTTTCCTTTTAATACAGTATTGGTCTTGTGAAATGTGTGATTTCCCAGTATTTATGTTGTGGCAGTAATTATATCGGTACAGTATTTGTGCTGGTACAGTAATTGTGCTCGTGCAGTAATCATGCTGGCACAGTTATTGCATCGGTTATTTATATATTGTTTCAAAAAAAAATTATTCTATGCATAATAGAGGTGTTTTTTGTAAATCTACTAAACAGTAAATAATGATAAAATTATAATTAAGAAAAGAAGGGAAAAAAGCATCACAGTTCCATCACATTTTGTGCTCTTTCAACAAAGCAAGTAGTAATGAGTGAGAGATATATATTGGATCTTTTTTTTTTTCAATTACCTGAAATGAAAAATTGTCAAAAACACAATAATGGAGTCCATCAGCAATTTGTGTGCACACTTTCTGTGTTAGTACAATTTTTTTTGTCCTTATCTAAATACAGTTTATCAAACATAAGTGAATTTCTAAACAATAAACTAGCATAAAATCTGTTATTCAATGATATGTGATAAGAACAAACAAATGATAACAACATAAAAATCATCCATGCTGATCATTATTTCATTCAAGGTTTTATGAGATCACAGTTGAGAGAAAAATGTTTGTTTCCATAAATTTAATTCTTATATTTCAAATTTACATTTTGTTTTAAAAAGAAATGTCTACAAATTTGCTGACTTCCAGTTGTTTTTTTCCATACAAATAAAACAACATTTGCCCCACATTAAACAGGGCTAAAGATTATGCAAATATATCAATTTAAAAGACTTACAAGAGCAAGAGAGAAACAAGGATTGACCAGAATGATGGACCATTTCATCAAGACAATGGGATAATGCCTTTTAATGTTTATGTACTGTATATCATTGCGTATAATACAATCCATGTATAATTTGAACCCCAATATTTTGGTTTGAAAATAAAGCCCTAAAATGCCTGCCACGTACAAAGCCATCAGTTAATCATGTTACATAAAATTATTGATAGTAAAATACACTAGTGAACAAGTGAACCAAATCATTATTCATTCTAAGATCAAAATGTCAAAATTCTTTAAATTATTATAAACTATATTTAAAGTGAACTGTGGTTAAAACAGTAAAATAGTGTTTATTATCCAGACAACGGGCCGCTATTTACATTACTGCCTTTATGCCCAGGCGCTCACATTATCCAAACCCCTGACTTGAGGTAGCATTTCTTACCATAAATTTTTTTTGCATTATGCGTGGTAACATAAGTATTTATAGAATAAATGCAAGAGCATTTTTCAACCTATCTAAGCCAGTTAATTATTGCGTGTCAATTATTGCAAAACAACATAAAATCAGCAAACTGGATGATAAGATCAATTCAAACTAATTTGCTCATGTTCTTTCTTTCTTTCTTTTTTTTTTGTTTTGAATAAAGAATTATTCTTATGTTATGTACGGTACATTAAATGGTTATAATTCTTTGTATCAACCCAAGATTTCATTTGAATAGTTTCATTATCTATATCTAAAGTCAAGCATCCGATGTCTCTGCCGTTACCAAAAGGTAACAAGCTGAGTCAAGAAACTAATCCTTTAAAAAAAGATTCAAAGTGAAGCTTTGACAAAAATAAACTAAAACCTTGAAACAATGATGAGATCTAATGAGTTTTCCATGTTTTGTTTTTTTTGCATCTTGAGCCTTGCTTTTTTAAAAATATGTTTGGTTTCACATATAAATCATCCAGTAATGAAAACATTTAGGAAAGTTGCGAGTGTTTCATCCACAATAGTGATGTACTTAAGTTGAACAATTCTTCAAGCCATTATAATTACACTGATATTAGTACATTGCAATCATACATCAGTAAATAGATATTTTAAAAAGGTTTTTTAAAATAAGATAAATTTTGTAAATAATTGAAAGAAATTTAATAGCAAAAGGCAGTTTGAAAAAAAAAAAGTCTTAAAATACATTTTCTTGAGAATTGCTTCAATTTGAAAAATTAATGAGTTTGAAATGCAAAAATAAGTTATGAACTTAGTATATGTTAAATCATAATTGTAAAACATCCATCACCATATATAGGTGCAATAAGAAAAAATATAATGGTGTAAGAAAATAATATATTTAAGTCTATTGGTCAAAAAAATTACAAAACGAAATCAGCCAAGTAAGTGAAGGATGTAAATATAATCATCCCAAATGTAAGGGGGTTAATCTGCTATAAATGTTTATATCTTGGTCAGACGTCTAACATGCACACAGACTTGAAATCACATTTGACATGAAGTCTAACAGCTACAACATCGAATACTGCCAACTAAAACACAAAAATGTGTATATTTAAACATACTGAGCACATCATCTTATACAACAGTTGTGTGTATGTACACTGAGCAGGAATTGATATCTTATCACAACTACGCTTCTCTACCCAGAGCTACTTCAAGGGTCAGTGTTGCTGTTTTTTCCCCCCAACCATGAAACCAAATATATTGCTTAAAAGAAAACATTGAAAGGTTTAAGATGGCAGGTATTAAGTAAAAATAATTATTAAAAAATTACACAAAAATCAACAAAGCCAATGAAGGGTGGCTGATGATAATTTAGAACTTTAAACTACAATTAGGTCATAGCCCGAGTGGAATAGACTGAGTGGAATAATGCACAAAGATTTATTTTTTTTTAAATTAAATTAAATTAATTTTATGTGCAATTATTTCTGGAAAACTTTCTTTACGACTGCATTTCTTCTACTATCCATCAATGACACAAAAACCAGCTTCCGGTCTCAACTCACCTAATACACTGATCAGGTTAACATTTTGTAAACATATTTTAGACAACATTTTTCTTTATAAAATTATGCATAAATATTGTTGTAAAATAAAAATATGATTTATAATTTAATGTTTCGTTTATAAACAGGCACCTTTGAATTTGATAAGTTTTTTTTTGTTTTTTTTTAAACTGAACCAAAAAAAAACATGACTACTTGTTTCCCTGTAGCTTAATTTTGATGTTGCTTTGACCCCAAAACAATGGATACGATATATTGCAGTGAAACAGTCCTTGGTTAAGTTTAAAGATCACATTCAGAAGCACACAGCATGGGGAGGCTGTGATGGTGTGTAGATGCATCATGGGAAGGTGCTGCCACAGATTATATTTTTTAAACTATTAACGGACTATGTACTTTAATTCTTATACAAGAGAAGGGCAAATATTTTTCACTTAGATCTTATTGTAAATTACTTAAAGGTACAAAAAAAACTTTGGCCTTACCCTTTGTTTATTCACGTGAACTTCTCCAGATCCATATAAAGGATAAATGAGAAGACAAAATTTAAGAATTTATATAAAGGTAAATTTAGTGGATGACACTGAAGAATATTTATTTTAGAAATAATTAAGATTTCACCTTGACACAATTACAAGTTAAGCCTTAGGCGTCAGTTTCTTGGTGACCAAGACAATGAGCGACTGGTTTAATTTCCAAAAGCTTGAGTAGTCTCGAGGTCCTCATTCGCTGGGTGCTCAACAGAGTACTTGAGGACCACCTCGGTCTTCTCCAAGCCCTTAAGCTCAAGGTCCCATTCCACATTGTTGCCCTTGGTCAGCCGGACCTTCTCTGACTTCTCTGGGTGCTTCACATCAATGTTAGGTAGTATCAGATTCACCTAGGGGAGCAGAGCAAAAATAATAATAAATACAAAAAAATATAGATGAACACAAGAAACTTAAGATGCAGAAAATAAAGAATTTATACACTTTAGGAAATAATGGAACAATTTAAAAATAAAGTGGATAAATTGTGTATATCCGTTTTTTTTATTTTTTCCTATATTATCTTTAAAAAATGTAGGAAATGCAAGAAAAATATAGTAATACATGCTAAAATATGGGTAAAAGATCAAGGTATAGTTAAACACAATAAAACACAACACAATGCTACTAGTAAAGCACAATAAAATACAGTGTGACAGAACAACAACAAAAATATCAGATTACAGTCACACAAATAAAAAATTTCAGTAGCTCTGATAGTAATGCAAAATGTAGCAAAATATTTGAAACTACTCCTCTCAGAGTTTTAGAAATAAGCAGTATAAAAGTGAAAATGATCCTACTGACCTTTATCTTCTCGTCTAGACTGCGGGGCAAGTTGTCCCTGACCTGGACCTTGACAAGGTAGTCATGCAGATTCTTTATCTCGATGGCCTGCTCGTGGGTAATGATTTGGGACTTGGAGATGATTCCGGAAGATGAGTTGACCTTGACCAATGGTTTGTATTCCACTCTCACACTGGGGTCGACACCCAATGAGCATTCAAACTCCTCTTTAGGGGCCACTGCCTTTATCTCAGCCTGAAATATCAAAACTTATCTTAGGCCAGATAATCAAAATTACAAAGGTAAAGAAAGACAAAATTATCATAGGTCAGAAAATCAAAATTATTTTAGCCTAGAAAAATCAAAATAACCTTATTCCAGAAATTTAAAATAATCTCAGTCTAAAATATCAAAATTATCTTAGTCCAGAAAACCATAATCTAACTCAGCCTTGAAAATCAAAATTATATGGGACAGGAAAATGAAAAGTTAGGAAATGCACCTCAATAAAAAAAATGTCCACATTTAGTAGAAGATATCAACTCTTTTGATCAGTGGAATGAAAAGTTAGGAAATGCAGCTCAATAAAAAAAATGTCCACATTTAGTAGAAGATATCAACTCTTTTGATCAGTGGAATGAAAACAGTTAAATGTATTATAATTATTATTTGTTTTTATTTGATTTTATAAAATATGAGAGTAATAAGATACAACAAAAAATTATTATTCTTGCCTATTCTAATGAGATTCATATTTATAAATTTAAATTTTAAAAGAAGTTCTACGAAATTTTGAAAGAGAACTTATATGTTTTTAAAAATTAGGCAAAATTGAAACAATTATTTCTTGTTTAATAAAAAAAAAAAACAAGAAAAATTGCACATGGAAAAATTATTGATGTCCAGTAAGAATTAAAACTTCACATTTATATTTATATATATTTTTATGTCTAAATTGGAGAACGCATTTGATTCACAGGTGTGTCATACAAATGATTTTATGGTAATAGTAGTGACTTGAATAGAGAGAAAATGCTACAATTTTTTTTAAGGAAAACGCCGCCATGTCTGAAGTTCAGCTCGAGATGGACGACCAACAGAGACTTTGCTAAAGTAAATAGTGAATTACAATTCTAAACCAAATACACAACTTTGTAGTAGTTACAAACCTTGGCAACAAAGCTATTGTCCAGAAAGATATTGGTGCGACCAGGCAAGAGGGTGTATTGCGAGGTGTTGGTCACCTTGGCCTGCAGGAAGGCGTGAGGTACAATTTTGGGCACAGTCAGGTAGTTCAGGGTTGGTGTCAACTCAATTATTGCAACAGTTACCTGAAGTAAAGGAAGGGGGGGGGGGGGGGGGGGTTTTAAAAAAAATTTTAAAAATTTAACAAGCTGAGTGCTAGTTGTGGGGTTATGACAGTGGGAGAGATTTCAAAAATATTTTTAAAATTTTAAGAATGTAGAAAAGAGACACGTTACAGACACATCAGATGACCAAAGATCAGAGGCTTAGATAACAAAGCATTGAAATGGTTTTCTCATGAAGATGAAAGCAAAAGGTTAAATTGTCACATTCTAAAAACTACACAATTTTAATTGTTGCATAAATATATGAGATGAAAAATTGTACATTTAGTAAAACTGTGTGCTGTCTGAAACATTTTTTATAAACAAATATTTATTGAAAAACTTGTCACCAGCCAGGCTACACAACTGGCTGCACACCTAGCTACACACCTGGCTGCACGCTTGAGCAAAACACTGCAATTGAAAAGCTACACAAAGCAAATGAATACAAACCTTGTGCTCTGTGTTGTCACTGGGTATGGTGGACTGGCGAGCAATCTCATAGGTTGTGCTGGTCGTGTTCTCTGCAACCTGATGTGAGGATACAAGTCAGTCTTAAACTTCTGGAGACATTTTAAACACATGCATTGAACATGATTACCACAGAACTTATTTTAAACTAATATGTCACCTCTATCAATCTTGTTTAAGTGCTGATTGAAGTTTAGCTAAACTACAAAATAAGCTATATCATCTTTGTCACCATTATAAAAATATGATCGTTAATTATTGAACTAGCTCTATGTATAGCAACAGTTTTTAACCCATCTCTGGAGTGGAAACAAACCCCTGCCTCTTAATTAATATTCATTTTTACAATAATCAAAATTATTTTAACTACAAAGCACCAAAGTAGCTTCAGACACAGCTTCCTGGGCTAGGCAAACACCATTTTCAGTTCAGACACAACTTCACAGGCTAGGCAAACACCATTTTCAGTTCAGACACAACTTCACAGGCTAGGCAAACACCATTTTCAGTTCTGGCACAACTTCTGGGGCTAAGCAAACACCATTTTCAGGACCCATTGAAAGCTTAAATATTTGTTATTGCAATACTAAAGTGACAAGGGCTGAAAATCCCCTTTAAACAGCAAACAAATAAGGCTTATTTTTCCTTTGAAAAACTTCTATGACACTTCCCAATGGACTAATGTAATGCTTTACTAGTCACTCTCATTCCTATATTTGATTTATATTGTTTGAATTCTGCTGATCATCATCACATTGGTAGTGATGCTACAGAGTCATACGGATACCTGCCACAGGAACTCTATCGCAGAGTTAAAAAATTTTGATGAATTATGCTATCTGTGTTTGTTTCCACTCAAGACACATTCAAGCGACAAATATATATATATATATATATATATATATATATATATATATATATATATATATATATATATATATATATATATTTGTGTGTGTGTGTACATATGTGCGTCATTCATGAAAAGCTCATCCAAAATAAAATATTTTAATATATTGCATGCACCACTTTAAACCATGAGTTTTTTAACCAAAGAATTTAAAAGATGAATAAAACCAGCCAACGTAACTCAATAATTTAGTGACCATGTTTTTTTTAAATTTTCACCACTTTAACCAATGAGAGCGACTATGAAAATTAATGTGTGTCAATCACAGAGCATGGATAAAAAAAAAATTTTTTTTTTAAAGTATAACAAATAAAACTACTGGATAAAGTAACGAGACAAAACAAAATAGTGTTAGAAATTATTACATATTTTTAAAAATAAGGACTGGATGGGGGGAGTGTCAGTAAGCTGATGGCAAGCAGAATATGAAGGTGGCAAGCAGGGAACGTTCTTCATCTGGCAACTTATAGAGACTCTTGGTTGGTTTTTTATGTTTGCTGTTGGTGGGGTTCATTAAAATCTTATGAAAGAGCAGGAATTAAGAAAAGTTCATCTCTAAGCTGATAAGATTAGAATCAAGGAAATGTAAGCTGAAGCAGTAGCCAAGAGTTTTTTCCACAATGAATCATCACAACTACCAAATAAATACATGAATAAGAATAAGTTTTGCCAACAATCAAATTTTTTTCTTAAATAGTGATTTCCTCCCCCCTCCACACACACAAACACAAAGAAAAAGGGATTTGCAAACCATGAGGAGGCAATTTAATATATATATATATATATATTGAATGTAAGTATTTCTAGTGGAAATATCTCACTTGTCATTAAGCCACACTAGTGAATATATAAGAGTGAGAGTGAGATAACGTTATGCTAAAGCTTGTATTCACAGGAAGCTATCATGTTGTGCACTTGCAGTGATGCAGCACCAAGGAATTATTGGTTTGTTAAACATTTGTCTTTAATCAATTATTGGGTTTAACAAGGTAAGACTGGCTTGTCAAGTGCAAATTTGATACTGATCAGTAGGGTGGTTCTTTTAGAGTTTTTTAAAAAAAAACAAAAAAACTCAAGATCTTTTACACCATTTCTAACACATCTCTGTTTTTACAACTCCATAAGGTTATTTCAAACTTGCTATGAAAATGTTGAACTGAAGTGGTTTCCCCCCAGATGTCTTACTACCATGGTGAATCCTTTACACAAAACCTTGAAACTGTCAACATTTTCTATTACAATTGCTCATCCTGGTTGTTTTATTTGAATAATTTAAGCAATTTTATTAAGTTTTTGAAAAAAGAAAAAAAACACATTAAAAAAACTAACCTGACAAAAAACTTAACACAGAATGTAATAATATTGATGCAAGAAAAACAAAGAGAAATTGTAATGCTTGAGATGTAGCATAATGAAGTGTACATGTGATATGCAGCATACTGAAATTTTCATGTGATATGCAGCATAGTGAAATGTTCATGTGATATGCAGCGTACTGAAATGTTCATGTGATATGCAGCGTACTGAAATGTTCATGTCAGATGTACACCTGTTATATTAACTATATTAAAATATCATAAGACAAAAACTATCAGTGTCTGAGAAGATATGTCCAAATAATAATGGTAGCTCAACTCCTTCACCACTACCAAGATTTAAAAGAAATAACATAAAACAAACTGTAACACTAGTTTAAGCAAGCCCAATAGTATTGTTCAGGAAAGTTTTTGACCATGTCAGAGCCAACAATTAAAAACAAATTTGCGGGGAAATACTTTCTGAAAAGATTATGAAATTTAAAGGGAAACCCAGGGGTAAAAAAAAAAATGGTCAATTTGACATAAAGAATAATAAATGTAAAAAAATATGTGTTTATTCTGATTGAAATATCTACATGACTCTGTGTAGAATTCATCGCTAGGGCCTGTGGTATTGGATCATGTTCCACAACAATGTCTTCTGTTGCACAACACTGATCATATTCTTCAAACGTTCTGGGGAAACCAGGGTTATGATTAGCATTATAAAGAAAGAAGTTGACCAGCAACTCAATGCAAGAGTCAAGACTGTCCCTTTTAACCATTAACACGAAAAATGGAGAAAAAATATTTTTTATTTTGCTTCATGGAGATCTAACAAATTTTTTTTTTTAATCTGCTGTGGTCAGTGCACAAAATTTCAACCCCTTTGTTATTTTGAATATTTCAAATTAACATTATGGAATCTCTTGAGGTCAGGGGTCACTTGAGGACTTACCAAATGTTTTGTTGTGCTAATGAAGGCATTTGCAGATACGTTTGCATTTGTGTTCTGTGTATCCAGAATTTAAGCTTAACCCATAGTGTTTTATTTACAAAAATTGTTTGTGTCTAAATTTATCTATCAAATTGTGGCATATATAATTTCTTGCATCATCAAGCTGTGTGTCAAAGGTCAGCTCTCCAACGAGTACAGATGTAAGTAGGTTAAAAAAATGACTTCAAAGAAATTGAAATATAACAAAAAAGACATCTGTCCTGCCAAGTTGAATAGCAGAGGAGAGGGTCAGAAATAAAATTGTATGTATTCATTGATCATTGGGCTACAGGTCACTGTTTCCAAAAGTGTTTTGAATTATTTTGTCGGTCTGCACAACAATGATATTTTTGGCTAATAAGTAGCAAGAAAAAAAAAATCTGTCTTTGGTAAACTAAAAATACTCAATATATTGGGAAGTGTAAGGATTAAATCACAAATTAACTCAGAATGTTATTTATATATGCCCTCCTGGCTATTTTTTTATCCAAGTCTTTATTTTATTTATTTTCAAAATACACGATCCATTTGAGTGTTTTAACACTCATAAGTATCAATGAATAAGGCATGCTCCATTTTCTCTTTAGTTTTTACTACTTAAGCAATTGATGAACAAGATGATCTTATGTAACATTGTATGCTGGGCATATTGCTAAAAGTCAGGAATCATTCATGTTGTTAATGATGTTAAGACATAAACCTCTGTGGGTTATGGTTGACATAAACCTCTGTGGGTTAAGGTTGACATACACCTCTGTGGGTTAAGGTTGACATAAACCTCTGTGGGTTAAGGTTGACATACACCTCTGTGGGTTAAGGTTGACATAAACCTCTGTGGGTTAAGGTTGACATAAACCTCTGTGGGTTAAGGTTGACATACACCTCTGTGGGTTAAGGTTGACATAAACCTCTGTGGGTTAAGGTGGAAGTTCCATATTTTTAGCTTAGAAAGGGAAACCCATGATCAATTCCCCATCACATGTTGCATTAGTTGCCACATTTTCTCAATAGCAATCAGCGACGTCTGGACCAAAAAAACAAATGGGCCGTGGAAACACAGAACAGTGCCCAATCACTAGAAACATATTTAAATACCTAGATTGGACATGACCTCTAACTGAAAGTGTATACGAAACACTCCGAACACACATACAGTGGTTGATAGCTGATAACATGAGGCACCCGTCAAGAGTATTAAAGGAGATGCTGCTAGAGGCGTTACATGAGTGTATAATGTTAATTGAAAAGCCGTACTCCATTTACAAACCAAAACTAAAAGCAAGTTATCTTTAAAATTAAATATCAAAACATCCTTTGAGGGACTGGAATGACTGAGGAAAAGTCCTGAGGTGAGTGGTATTTTTTATCAAAAACTATGGATGAATATGAGTTGCATTTCTAATGCAGGCAAAAGAATTTTTTTTACTTTTAGTGCAAAATAAAAATTTTCACGAGGCCAAGATTCATATCAGCTAAATTTATCCAGTTTTTTAAATATCAAACATTGATGCATTTAAATTGGGGGGGGGGGGGGGGTTATATTTAAAACAAAAAAATTTTTTAGTTTTTTTTTTTTTTAGGCCTATTATTAACTTTATTATTGATTGCCTCCCTCATTGGTCTTTGTATTAAAAAGATATTTGCTTTTAGTGCTGATGATTTTATAATGAATTATTTTAGTAGATTTTCTAATACATGGTCCATTGATTTAACATGCACAGGTTTTATGGGTAACAGCAAATTTTTACAAAAGAACATTGTTCGAACATAAAGTTGTTTGAAATGAAATTTATCAGTCTTTGATAATTTTTTTAAAATGCTTTTTAAGAGAAGGTGAGAGTGAAAAATGGGGAAATGCTAACTTTTTATTAAAATTTATTTTTGTATCTTTGGATCCATTTCTTCATTTCCAACAAAGTTCTATAAGAATAAGCTTCTGCTCAAATAAACTTCCATTCAAATTAAATTCCATTCGAACAACATTCCTTTGTAAAAATTGGATTCACATAAATTGGTTTCCTATTAATTTCTGGATATGGGTGTAAAGCACTACATTTGGAAGCGATCTGAAAACTTTCACTAGTATGTTGCCTTGTGGTTCAGAAGGAAGACTGAACTAATGGGTGTGGGTGTGGGATTCGATTGGGTCTGTGGGTTTAATTTGGTCTACAGGTAAGAGAAAGATGGGGAGGTAGCCATAGGTTTAATTTGAGTCTGGTGTTTTAATCTTCTGCCACAGACAGGAGAAAGGGTGGCTTTTTCAAGCTACATATGGTGTTTAATTGGGTCTGTGGGGTTTAATCTGGCCTACAGGTAAGAGAAAGATTGGGAGGTAGACAAGAGTATGTCTGTGGGTTTAAATCTGGCCTATAGTTAAGAGAAAGATGGAGAGGTAGGCAAGAGTATGTCTGTGGGTTTAATCTGGGCCAACAGGTGACAGAAAATCCCCCTGCAACAGGACAGGCATGCAATTCAAGTCAATCCCCTAGAACTCTAGACTAAACGGTGTGTATAGCAGGTGACATTGTACAAGACTAAATCTCTACACGCTCAGTTTGATCTCAAGAATGGAAAAGTATACCGGGGGCAATTGATCCATATTTTAAAAAATTAGTAAACTTTTTTGTTTGTTTTTGCATGGACATGTAGAAGCAAGTTAGATAATAATGTGTTGGAAAGGGAAAGGATAGGCCTAACCAGCCCCCCCCCCCCCATTTCATTAGATTACAGTTAAAAAACCAACTGAAAATAGGGGGACTTCTTTATTTGGTTAAACCAAAAAGTTCACAAAAATACATAAAGAAAACTCAATGAAAGGAAAGGCCCAACCCCCCCCCCCCCCCCCATTTCATTAGATTACAGTTAGAAAACCAACTGACAATAAGGTGACTTCTTTATTTGGTTAAACCATAAAGTTCACATAAATACATAAAGAAAACTCAAGCAGGCCCTTAGCAGAGCCTCGGGCCCCTAGCAGAGCCTCGAGTACAAATATATTAAAGCCAGTTAAAACTAGTACATGCACTGTACTTTAACTATATTTCAATAAGTTATCATTTAGGGTCACCAAAAAGGAAAAAAAAAAAATGCATTGAATTAATAAGCAAGGACAAATAGATGATGACAGATGGAAACATTGAGAACAGTCAGACATTAAGCCATGTGAGAAACTTATGTCCAACAGACCTGGACTTCAGAGGGCAACATCGGGGCACTAAACCTCATGCACTCCAGCTCTTGGTTGAGAGCTTCAGGTTCAGCACACCTGCCCATGGGTTGCAAATCATAATTGAATTCCCGAGCGGCATACATTTTCCCTTTGGCTTTTTCCACTGTCCTAAGTGAGGGGAAAAAAAAGATGGATTGCTTAGTCCAAACAAATTTATCCATTCTTGAGATTTTGGGGATTGTTTTTTCTCTCTCTAATCCAGTCAACTTGCAACATGAAATCTTGAGTTAAATAATGTACCGGTATTCTATCCCCTGTCAAGTTTAGGGGATTAACTCCACCACCAATTAGCTGTGGACGACAGCTATTGGCCTCCTTTGGATCAGCAGGCTGGTTGACCTTTGGATCTTCCACCTCACATCTTTTGAAATTTGCAACAAGTCATGCAAGCGTTGTTTTTCAGGTTTTTTTAAAGTAATGTTTTTGGATAACTTAAACCAAGGCAAGGCATGCATAAATGTTACCAAAGGATGATGACAAGTGATTTCAGAATCAAGTGAAGATTTCTCACACATGAGAAGCTTTAGGACCAAAATATCATTTTTTCATATTAGTGTCCTATCTGTGTCCTACTGTGCCTAGCAGCATTTAAACAGCATCAGTCATTGAACAAGATGACTTTCTAAAGAGTGTGATCCGTGGTGTTGCTGGTGTTAAGAGTGCTGCAGTTGGTGGAAAGTGCCCTCTCCAAGTGCCACTAAGTGTGATCATTGGTACAGTGCTTGAAGAAAAAAATATGAATCTGAAAGTCCCAATGACTAAAGAGATGACCTCATAACTCCATAAAATATCACAGAGCAATAATACAACTTGGTTTGACAACCAGAGTGAAAGAAATGAAGAGATTTTAATGGCTGAGCTCAGCTGGCGACTGGAGTGCACATCCCACAAGAGCTTCTTTAAGACTGCTGATGACATGGAAATACATGATATGGACCTCATGATCTAAGCTGTTAGTTGGTTCTATAGTTCAATACCTTCCACCGCCTGCAGATTTTTTTCATGTGCTTCAGAAGCAAACGCAAATACTGAAGAAATAATGTTTCCCTTCATTGTTAAAGACAATAGGTGGACAATTCATGTAATCTATTTTAATGTTTATTGCCGTGAAGTTGACGACATACATGTAAATCATGTTGATGATGTATGTACATTAAGTTGACAAAAAATTAGCGAAAGATTTGATATGATATGGTTCTTCTAATCAATGAAATGGAACTGATCAACATAATGTATGAGTTACTTTGCACCCTTTTTGGGAGTATTTTTCCATCCACCTTGAGCACTTAAATAATTCAAGCGGATTTAGTCGTACTAGCAAGGCCTAACTTAAAAGCAAGTTTTCTAAAGGCATATTTTTTTTTCAAGCAAGTTTTCTAAAGGCATATTTTTTTTTCAGACTCGTTCCTTTCCTCGCCTGCATTCTCACCTGCCTGTAGTCATCACAGGTATAACCAGCCATTTTGTTGTGGTGGTACAAGAAGCAAGCGATAGAGCAAACATCAAGCTAGGGTTAATCGTAATGTGTCCCATGGGTTAATTGTACTGGTTAGCGTCCCATGGGTTAATTGTAATGGTTAATATCCTATGAGTTAAGTTATTTTTAGTGGTAATTGTGTGGAAGAAAATTACCAAAAGTTTAGTTTAAAATGAATGATTCCAAGACCCTCTAAAAAAAAAAAAATTGACACTGAATATATGTCTTTAAAAACTTCATTTTTATTTTTTTTAAATTTATTTATATATGAAACAATAAACTAAAAATCAGCGTTTAATGCTGTTCAAGGCATAGAGCCCCGAGCCCCAAAAAATGAAATCTTTTGACATGTTCAATACAGTTTTTCATAATCTTTTCCCTTTTTCGTTTTTTTTTTTTTTAAGTCATTAAACTTCCATCAGTTTTCTTGTATTTCTTAAAGTTATGTGTTATAAGCCATGGATAGAAAATGTTAGTGTAAGCCTTTAATGTAAAACACATAAATGTTGTAAAACACATTAATGTATAATACATAATGAAACTCGTCAAATGAACATATTTTTAAAATGATATACAAATATCAATGCACCATATAAAAAAAATTTTTTTTGTGATCCTGAAGAAAAGCAACGAAATCTACAGCAGCCGGTTTAAGATAACTAGAAAGAAGCTGAGGTTTGAATGCAGAACAGCTCCGAGTTTGCTGGCAAGCTAGCCGGAGACTGACCTGGACTGGGGCAATGGACAGGAAATTACAGCCTAACATCCCGTCAGCCCTGAACTCCTCTGCATCGTTTTTTTCCACTGGAAATGCCTCAGATCTGGCCTTGCTCTTCCTGGATGACCTTCTTAAGGAAAACTTCCTTGGCTGCTTTTTAGGCCTAATAAGATATACAACAATCCCAGACAGTGAGTAAACTGAAGGTTTAATTCAGTAACAGTGACTTTTAGCACTCTAGCAGGGATGAAACAATCCACAACTTGTGAGTGAAACAGTCCGACTCGATTCCGACTCGATGAAACATAAATTAATCACTCACCGAGTCGTGTATAAATGTTGGTGGCACGGAACTGTTTCCATGACTCTGAACGCCAAAATGAGTTGAAATGGCTCCTCAAAAAAAAAAATTCCCTCTGCAAGCACATTATCATGGGGAATGATGTAAAGTTTTGGGTTTGCTTGTCAGTTTCAATATTTTACACCTCGCAAAGACGCCCCAAAAAAATTTATTTTAATGTACAATTAAGATTGACCATAATTTCCTCATCAGAAAAAAATTGTATTGAGATTTAAACTTCCAAGTGCACTACTGATAAATTCATATTGCTGTACTTTTAAAATTGATAATTCTCAAGGAACTATACTTTCAGGATAATTTTAACTAAATGGCTCAGTAACAATGCATGGGGTTTATATTGTTGCAATCCATCACTACTCATAGAGCATCCATGCCAAACTGTGTGTTTTACCCATATTCTGTATAGGTTTTAAAAAATGTTCGAGTTGTACCGCCGTACAGGAACCTTTCATGTTTTTCACTGGATTTAGAAAAGAGATATTTTTTCACACAACAGTGAAAACACACTAATGAAAATCTTAACTTGCAGTGCAATAAATAGGCCATCACGAAGCTGGAATCCAATAGGTCTGCTCAAAATGAGCTTTGGTCAAAAGTCTGAGATTTGATAGGCTATTTAAATTTAGAAACTGAGCATGGTTTCTTTGAGCCCATTCTTACCCCAGCGTTGATTGGGAGTAATTACTTTGAGCAGTAAACCGTGAATGCAAATCAGTTTGTGTGGTTGTTATAACAACTTTTAATTCTATTCACACATCGCCTGTGGTAAAAAACTACAACTATATAACTATCCACAGGACTATCCTCCACAATACAGTGAAGAATACAGCCGGCTATAAACCAAAGGTAAATTAAAGAACTTTGTCAAGACTGACAAAATGTATTTCCCTTCATTGATTTACAACAGGAACTCAGATTTTAAACAGGCTATTTTTATTTAAAAGCTGCAATCGGTCCAAACGTAAACATGATAAAATGTGCGTGCAGCAAGGAATTAGACCAATCAAGAAGGCAAATTTTGCATGCATTCAAAACATTGATAATTAAATGATGAACAAGTTATAAATTATACTTCTTTGAATTTTACCTTTTTTTTTGTGCCGGGTTGTTGTACAGTTTCTAAGGAACTGTTATAAGGGTTTTGACCTCAATGATTTTATTTGACAATTTATTTTATTTTTAAAGGTACCTAGATTTATCAAAGACGGCATCAAAATTTTGACCATATGTTGTCCTGTGGGTGATTAAGCAGAAGAAATAGAAACAATCAACACTACTAAAAAGTTGACTCTGCTTATGATTGATACCTCATTACATTTTAGGGCTCCGGTGTCAATAATAATTGGGGGTTTCTGGTAAAGATCTAGTTTGTTTAATGCTTTGTGCATGCATAAGGTTGGAGGGGGAGTCAGTATTACCATAAACTGCAATGGCTTACAAACCAGAGGACTTGCAGAATGGTGGTTCAGGCCCCAAGGTATTCCCAAGGTATCCCTTAGGTATTCCCAAGGAATACCAAGGGGCCCTATGATAAATTATAACAAGGCCATTGTAAAACAGCAACAACAAAATTTAGTCCAAGGGTTAGGTTAGTAGGACTAGTAGTCGCTACTGCAAGCAGCTGTAACTAAGTGAGTGACTGGTTAAAAAATGGTCTTTGACATTGAATTGAAGAGAGAAATAAAATTATGAACATTCTGTAATATTTCGCAGCACCCTTGTGAGGATATCAAGGCTCCTCAGGGGGACTGCGGTGCACACAATGATAACCATCGCTATAAATCATACTCAAAGAATCACTCTTATATAATGTTTTCACCTGTAAACGCCAATAAAAATTATCAAATTTTAACACACAGCACACACAAAAAAAACACACTTATGCTGACAAGAAAAATAATATGTTCACGACTAGTGGCAAAGAGTCAAATATAATGAGATTAGTCAAACTCTGGAGTAAAATAGGTTTACATACAAATAAACTTGGTTAATGGAAGGTAATCCTCGTGTTACCAGTGTGATGACCCACCCATTCAGAGGCAGAATTATGGGAGGGTAATCCTCGTGTTACCAGTGTGATGACCCACCCATTCAGAGGCAGAATTATGGGAGGGTAATCCTTGTGTTATCAGTGTGATGACCCACACATTCAGAGGCAGAATTATGGGAAGGTAATCCTGGTGTTATCAGTGTGATGACCCACCCATTCAGAGGCAGAATTATGGGAAGGTAATCCTCGTGTTATCAGTGTGATGACCCAACCATTCAGAGGCTGAATTATGGGAAGGTAATCCTTGTGTTACCAGTGAGATGACCCACCCATTCAGAGGCAGAATTATGGGAAGGCAATCCTTGTGTTATCAGTGTGATGACCCATCCATTCAGAGGCAGAATTATGGGAAGGTATTCCTTGTGTTATCAGTGTGATGACCCACCCATTCAGAGGCAGAATTATGGGAAGGTAATCCTTGTGTTATCAGTGTGATGACCCACCCATTCAAAGGCAGAATTATGGGAAGGTAATCCTTGTGTTACCAGTGTGATGACCCACCCATTCAGAGGCAGAATTATCGGAAGGTATTCCTTGTGTTATCAGTGTGATGACCCACCCATTCAGAGGCAGAATTATGGGAAGGTAATCCTTGTGTTATCAGTGTGATGACCCACCCATTCAGAGGCAGAATTATGGGAAGGTAATCCTTGTGTTATCAGTGTGATGACCCACCCATTCAGAGGCAGAATTATGGGAAGGTAATCCTTGTGTTATCAGTGTGATGACCCACCCATTCAGAGGCAGAATTATGGGAAGGTAATCCTTGTGTTATCAGTGTGATGACCCACCCATTCAGAGGCAGAATTATGGGAAGGTAATCCTTGTGTTATCAGTGTGATGACCCACCCATTCAGAGGCAGAATTATGGGAAGGTAATCCTTGTGTTATCAGTGTGATGACCCACCCATTCAGAGGCAGAATTATGGGAAGGTAATCCTTGTGTTATCAGTGTGATGACCCACCCATTCAGAGGCAGAATTATGGGAAGGTAATCCTTGTGTTATCAGTGTGATGACCCACCCATTCAGAGGCAGAATTATGGGAAGGTAATCCTTGTGTTATCAGTGTGATGACCCACCCATTCAGAGGCAGAATTATGGGAAGGTAATCCTTGTGTTATCAGTGTGATGACCCACCCATTCAGAGGCAGAATTATGGGAAGGTAATCCTTGTGTTATCAGTGTGATGACCCACCCATTCAGAGGCAGAATTATGGGAAGGTAATCCTTGTGTTATCAGTGTGATGACCCACCCATTCAGAGGCAGAATTATGGGAAGGTAATCCTTGTGTTATCAGTGTGATGACCCACCCATTCAGAGGCAGAATTATGGGAAGGTAATCCTTGTGTTATCAGTGTGATGACCCACCCATTCAGAGGCAGAATTATGGGAAGGTAATCCTTGTGTTATCAGTGTGATGACCCACCCATTCAGAGGCAGAATTATCGAAAGGTAATCCTTGTGTTATCAGTGTGATGATCCACCCATTCAGAGGCAGAATTATGGGAAGGTAATCCTTGTGTTACCAGTGTGATGACCCACCCATTCAGAGGCAGAATTATGGGAAGGCAATCCTTGTGTTATCAGTGTGATGACCCACCCATTCAGAGGCAGAATTATGGGAAGGTAATCCTTGTGTTATCAGTGTGATGACCCACCCATTCAGAGGCAGAATTATGGGAAGGTAATACTTGTGTTATCAGTGTGATGACCCACCCATTCAGAGGCAGAATTATGGGAAGGTAATCCTTGTGTTATCAGTGTGATGACCCACCCATTCAGAGGCAGAATTATCGAAAGGTAATCCTTGTGTTATCAGTGTGATGACCCACCCATTCAGAGGCAGAATTATGGGAAGGCAATCCTTGTGTTATCAGTGTGATGACCCACCCATTCAGAGGCAGAATTATGGGAAGGTAATCCTTGTGTTATCAGTGTGATGACCCACCCATTCAGAGGCAGAATTATGGGAAGGTAATCCTCGTCTTATCAGTGTGATGACCCATCCATTTAGAGGCAGAATAATGTGGAGACTGCCTTCTGGGCCATGGGAAGGTGGTATTAAGAACAAGAAATGGGTGAGCTTGAAAGATATAGATTAAAACAGTAACACACTGAACAATAACACAGACATTACACCTTCTTTCCGTGAACAGAACATGTTCTCATTCAAAGACCGCAGACTAGCAGCTCAGAGTGAAACAGTGCAACCAAGTGCAGCAGTACCTAGTACAGCAATACCAAGTGCAGCAAACACCAGGTGTAGTAAGTAACAAGTGCAGGAGTAACAAGTGTTGCAGCACCAAGTGTTTTGCATTTAATTAATCAGAAGACTCAATCTTTCTCAAAGCAACAATAATTATTGCATTTGCCAAAGAGCTGTAATGATTGCACATGTGTTAGTAGGCTAAGCGATAATTAACGATTATAAGTTAAGGTTGTCAGGTCAAATGGTTTAAAGTGGTGCAAACCAAACTATGGTCAGTAGTAGATGAAGATCTTCCTCCAGCTAAATACAAATTTAAAAAATGTGGTTCGATGCCTCTATTTACAGAGCAGGAGAAAATATAAAGTTAGAGAGATCGAGAGAGAGAGATATTGTGGGGAAGATCTGCAACAAAGAGAAATTGACATTACATCACCAGCAATCAACTTATTGATACAACACGGCACCAGGCCAGTGAGCTACTATTCTAGGAGATTACAAGAACTACAGCAGTGTTAGTGGAGGTTAAGTTCAGAGACAGTGCTACTGGGCTCCCCGTGATTGGCATGCACCATCTTTGGGAGAACGCTTACCACCTCTGAGCTTTCACAACATGGCTGAAGAATTAATACGACCGCGTCAAAGAATGACTGACCTGGACTGGAGCACGGGCCATAGCCATAGCCATTGGAGGAGCATCACTCATTATGTTGTCGCAAGCCATCGAGTAAGCCATCATTTCAGGCTCTTCTGACTCCTGGCTTCGTTTAGCCGCTGACTTCAAAAAGGAGGAAATGGGTCGTGGTGATGATTTAGGCCTGATGACAGACAACATTGTCCAGGTCAAGTTTTGATGCGCGTGAGAAAAAGATTTCAGAGTCTGTGCTGAAACCAGCATTTTTTTTTAAAGGCTTGCTAACAGCAAACCACACAAATACGTATCACTGACATCTGGGACACAAAAAGAATTTTCTACTAACTGGTTCTATGTTTCTGCTTCAGTATAGTCACCATACCTGTTGTAAATACAAAATTACTGTTCCTCATGAACAATCCTATTTATAACTAAAAACTCTCTGGGGAGAGTGGTATCAGATAGCAGCAGGTTTTAACAGTGGTCTCAGCGTGATATGTTATAGGTTTTTAACTAACAACTGTCTCAGTGTGATATGATATAATGATATATGGGTAAAAGTGATTTAGGTTGTAATTGAGTGCATGAGCTTACAACACACAAATTATAGGTCAAATAATCTGCCCGAAATAAAAAAAAACAATTGAATTCAGTTTCAATAAAAGTAGTTAAACACTTGCAGAAAACTGGAATTATTCATTATTTAAAGATAGAGTGAGAGAGAGAAAGAGAAAGAGAGAGGGGGGGGGTTTGTGTGTTGAAAAGAAAAAATATATTTAATATTTCCCTGTATAGCATTCATTCTAACCTCTCAAATGAGTTGAAAACTATATTTGGCACTAGATGTGTGTTTGCTATAAATATAAGTTTTATACTAGACATTTGCAAATACATATCAGACAGTAGTTGGGTTGGTGGGAGAGAGGTAAGATCAAGGGAATTAATTACCATATTTACTCATTCAAAAGCTGATTTGGATAGGGGGGAGGGGAGAGGGCGCGGGGTGGGGGGGGCTCAGTGGATTAAGGGGGCTGGTTGTACTGTGATCTGTTCATAGGAGATTTTTTAATAGTTTTCTTCATGTACATTGAATAATGAATTTGCAACTGTAGATCGCAAAGGTCCTAGTCTACCATAAGCTCTACAAGATTCCAAAATATTATCAGAAGCTTTAAACAGCTGCATTTACCTTGATTACTTATTTGCTTTATTTTTTTCTTGAATAAAAAAATTTTGAATGTCATTTTTACAAATTTTGATTTCAATAAACTTTTTTTAATTCATTCGCCTAATTTGACAAAATAAGGAGAATGAAAGTAGCAAGCACCACTATTCAGTCGTTTTTGGGATCAGCATAACCATATCCTATATTCAGGCTTTTCCCACCAAAACTAGGGGCTCAGCTTTAGAATGAGTATCTATGGTAAAGCCATTTGGGGAAAAACATGTCAAAAGAAATCAAAGCATACTCTCCTGTCATCCTACCATTAATAATTATTATCTCGATAGATCATTTTTTTTTTATAAAGCATCTTTGATTACGTTTTTTTTGTTTTTGTTTTTTCTCTTACTCTATCCTATACATGGTTTGGTTTACTTATTCAAATAATGCTGAAATGCAGCAATTTTAAAATTGTCTCATGCTTAAATAAATCTTTCTGCCCCTCACTTATGTTTACAATGGGCAGTCTTATTAAGAAATGGGTCGATACTCAGTTCCTCTATGGAATGTTGCAGTAAAATTTATTAAGACTTGGTCAAATTTTGTGATGCCATTTTTAAAAACTAAATGGAAGCGGTTGAGACTGGGCACTTAAACATTTCTAACCTTGACCTCAGCAACCACCATGGGTGCCGATTCAGTTCTCATCTTTGTGAGGCTCGTGTCTACCGAAGAATTGGCGATTTTATCAAACAGTGAATGTTTAACAAAAGAGTGAGAAGTCCTGCAGGACAGTAAGGACTTTAATTAGATGAATTAAAAGAGATGGTAGCTTTTCCTTAATATCCAAATAATTCGACTGAATGAAGTGATAACCTAGCCTCCGATATTGATCTAAATAATTACAATTTTGAAATAACTAATGACTATTTGAGTATTGAGTGAAGTGCTTTTGAAAGCTGGAAAACAGGATGTGCCAGACTTTATGTTGGATACCCCCTATAATTAAATGCTTATGCTAAATAAATATTTTTAAGAAATATATAATTTACTGGATCTCATTGCAAAATTAAAGGAATCTCAAATTGTATTTTCCTTCCATAAAAGGAAGAGCATGTCTTTGTATTTCAGGTGATAAACATTTCCAGGCACAACTGAGTAGCTGACTGGAGTTGAATGATAAAAATTGACAGAAGTGTATATGTTTTTAACAATGAACCAACTTAAGATAAGTTGTTTTCAAATCAGAATACCTTTTAAATTTTATTATTTTTCTCCAAATTTTTTTTTTGTTGTTTTTTTGTGCTACAATATATTAACTAAATGTTCAAAAGTCTGAAGTTTCGTTGATAGGTACTATATATTCTATTAGTGCTGTTGAATGTCATTTATTATGTAAAGATTCTTTTATATGAACTAACTATACATCTTAGTGGCTGTTTACAACATGCTTAAAAGGACTCTTGCTGGTAATGAGGGTCACATCACCCAAGTGAGCCTAGAAACAAGGCAGGATCAGGCTTAGCTAAAAGAGCACCTACAATTAGTAGAGTTTTGTAAAGCAGAAGCAAAAATAAATAAACAATAGAATGTACAGTGGTGAAATGGCAGTGCAGCTCGACTCCCCCATCCAGTCCAATCCAATCTTAGAACCCAACACTCAATGTGGCATATACCTCAGCCTCGGCCACTCGCATTGCTCCTAAAGGTGGTGGTGCGGCAGGTGCAGGGTATCCACCCGCGATTCCCCTTTCCATTATGGGGTGATATCTTTCTCCATAATAATCGTCACTCATGCTTTCACTTAAGCCAAAACTTCTGGTGGCAGATACAGGGCTGAAATAGGGGAAGTAGGGGGAGCGGGGGTACAACAACCAAAACAAAGTTGTCAAGATACAACTGTTAACAGATTCCTAGTTTGAAAGCAGATACAAAAAAACAGCAAAGAAGATGGATAGCTGATGAAACTTGGTGATGGCCCGCTTTGAGGTAAACGTAATTTCAGTCCAACACCCGATGGTGGAGGGAGAAAAGCTGAAGGATAATCTGCATGAATCCACTGCACAACAGGTTATTTCAATACAGCATCACATCAATATATGCACTCAATGCAGCAACCACTGGGTGATATTGATTTATAAACAAATTAGACCCACTGCATGATGCCTCCATGACCTATTAATGGTTACATCATTTTAAACAGATCTGCTCTATGTTTACAGGACACAAGAGTAAAAATAATAAATGAAGCAGAACAAAAAATAAAGAACAAATTTTTAGAATGGGAGGTAAATCTGTTCTTTTTAACAAAAGGTAAGTCACCCATTAGTTCTTTTTCATTAGGTATTATATAACAATATATATATACTCTGTGTAAAGCCCACATGCATACCACACATGTTGAAATATTCCAAACATTTAGAAGAGATGATAATGACATCGGCACTAGACAATTCATGACCAACAGTGTTCTCAGAAAAATGAAAAGCAGACTGAGGAACTAAGTATGAAAATAAAGGTTGGAAAAAAACAAACATACCGAATCTTGCGGACAGACAACTGTGTCATTGGGAGGTTGGGGATGGTTCCACCAACGCTAGGTTCAGCTGTTGAAAGGTAGAGCTTGACATTATTCCAGTCTTCACCAGAGCTTTGAAAGATCAATCCGTAGTAGAAGATCTGAAGAGGAAAATTAAAACATCTGCTACAGGAAGAAAGTTTAAAGTCCTTAACGGAGTGGGGTGTGAAGACCTGCAAGAGTTGTACTGGGAAAGTGGATGCAGTATCATAGGAATAATCATGGAGAAATAAATGTCATATTTATTCACTATTAATCTCACCAATCCTCCTAAAAAAAACAAAGGCTTTAGAAACTTTCTGTAAAGTCCAACCATAAATATGTTTGTGACCTTTTCATGAACATCACCAAAAGACCAATTGGCCATTCCCCCTCCCCACCCCCCATATTAGTACCCTTTGGAATTCAGGTTAAAAACTCAGAACTACACTTACCTTCAGTACACTTTTTTCTGTGAACATACGAAGGTCATAGGATGGTGTCCAAGAGGCCCCCAGCACCACGTAAGACACTGTGAGGGACACCTTAGTCTCCTTTTCAGCCTCTAGCACCACCACACACTCCCTGAGACACACAAAAAAAAATGTAATAAATAAACCTGGTACAATTTCCAGTTGTTTTTTTGTTTTTTTTCTAATTTGTTAAAATGTTTTTGACGAGATCTCAGAGACAATTGAGCAACTGGTTATGTGCTGGTTATGGCAGCTTTTAAAAAATCTCACTGAACAGCACAAGGGTGGCCACAAGGAGTATCTTCAAAGTCTGGCCACATGGACCCTTACGTCAGGATTGCCCCTGCCAAAACAAATCGGGGTGGCATGGACAATGTTTGCAGCCAAATCTGAAAATCTAGGCCAGACCTATCCAATCAGTGCAAACTATATTCAATAAATTGACAACAGACCTTCTCATAACAGAATAACTTGACAACAGACCTTCTCATGACAGAATAACTTGACAACAGACCTTCTCATGACAGAATAACTTGACAACAGACCTTCTCATGACAGAATAATAATTTGAAGAAACATTAACAGTCAGGGGCTTTTTTTTGTTGTTGTTTCTGCTTTTTTTTAATGGATTACTTTTTAAAAAAAACTGTTTAATATTAGATTCCCTAAAAGTCAATGCATTCTGACCTGTTTTCGTGTCCACTGTGGTAGTTGCCACGCACCTCAGACAGGTTTCTCTCCACCGCCTCGATCTTCTTGTTCAGCTCCTCGTTCTTCTTCTCCAGGTCTAGCCTTTCAGCCTCCAGCTGTTTCCCAATGTCTTTGTATTGTTGCATGAATTCCCTCATACCTCAAAGAACAAGAGAAAGCCATGCATCTTTCTGAATGTCTCCATGAGCTCAATGGTAGTTTAAGTCCATGAGCTCCATGGTAGTTACAGACAGAAAACCACTTCCTGTTATTTGAAATCAGGTTGCTAAGCCACCACTTACAACTTCACAAAATAAAAATTTTCTAGGATATTGGAGACATAATGTTTAATCAAAATATGTTAAAAAAATGTTTCAATAAATAAAGCAGCTTGAAGGATATTAAGATTTTTTAAACTGAAGTTAAATAGACGTTTATAACATTCAACAATAAAAAGTACTTAAAATTTCCAATCCACAGAATCTGAAACATAAATTATTTCTAAATAACCTAAGATTTTTAAGGATTAATTCATGTTTGCCGATGGAAAAGGAAATTACACTCACTTGTTTCTGTATTACTCACACTAGTTAAGGTGTTAACAATTTCCCCTTTGACCCAAACACAAGGGCTGATTTTGATTCTAGTTTATTGTTATTAGAACAAGAAATAAAGATGGTCAGTAAATACCTTTAAAATAACCAGCATCAAGTAGAAAAGTTGAAGGTTCGTCTTTTTTTTCACCCTGAAGTTTGTTAGAATAAAAAAAAAAAGAATATTATATTATATTATTACTTTTTAACAGAAGCAAAATGTAAAAACTCTTGATATAAGAAGGGATGTCGGGGTTTTAATGGCCGTCTGATAATTTATTGTAGAATTCAGCTTTAAATCTGAATGTTGTTGTAATTATTATTATTATTATCAATATCATTATTATTATTAATTATTACTTTTATTGTTATTATTATTCATTTCCAAAGTTTATTTTCAACTATTCCTCGCAGATCAACATGAAATTTATAAACTTGCAAGGTGATATCAATCACCACTGATGGGAAACGGCAACTGATTAGGTTTGAAGCATTTACATATCACCTACCAAGCAAGTAATAGAATATCTAAAAGCATTAAGTAGAAAAGTTAACTAAATATTACTTTTACTTAACGTAGATATATTACAAGCACAGTGTTGATTATATGTCTTATGTATCTAAGTTGGTCATCGGAAATTAAAGTTTTTTGCTTCCCCAAAAAGAATTTAGTCACCACTGGATCTTCACAAGTGACCTTGGGTAGTGTGCGCCCCCTCCTAAAACTCTACATACTCAGTGTCAAGAAAGTTTTGTTTTTTAGTTAGAAACCGAAATAGAGGAGTGTTAAGTTGATTTAGTAATAAAAAACATTTATATTGACATATTCTTTTAGATAAAATATCAACAATAACCTGGCCATTCTTTGCAGCTGTGGCAGCAAACTGATCCAACAGCTGCCATTGCTTGTTTAGGGATTTTTTCTGGTTCTCAAGATCAAGAACCTTTTGCTCTTCCTTTAGAACACGAAGCTGAAACAACCAAAAACACATATTAAGGAAACATTAAGATTTAATAGAGGAGCCCCTAAATACCAAGAGATATAATTTAATTAAAAATGCATCATAAGTAACTTGTGATTTTTTTTTTTTTTTCATTTTAAACATGAAAAATTTCTATCAAATGATTCTAAAAATGTGTTGTTTTACTGAAGCACTAATAACAAGGCTGTGTTTTTCAGTACCTGCTCATTTAATACTTTTTCTTTTTCTGTCATGGTGGCTTCATCCTCTGTGACATACTTGTTCTGGTAGCTAACCTCAGCAATGGTGGCGTTTCCTTTACCCTCGACCCTAATATATCAAAATACTTGAATTAATGGAGTCTTTATTTTGTATTTATTTCATTATTAAACCAGTTTGAAATTAAAATGTATATGATAACTAAAACAAAATACCATAAAGATCATACTTTGAATTAGGTTATATTTTGTATTTATTTTTCTACCATTTCACTTTTTTTTTTTAATTATCTGTTGGTGATGCTGATCAGCAGTATTATTTTTTTTTATTAATTCATCATAAAAAGAAGTTGTTGAAGGGTCTAAGACCAAACTTCTGTGCAATAAAAAGCATTTGATATACTGTATTTAATAAATATAATTACTTAATCCACTTGAGAAACATCAAATATGTCAAGGAAAATTACCTGATGGAATCTTCATCAATCCGCACAAACTCTTTAATACGAAGCTCGTTTACACCAGCTTTCACGGTTGTCTCCAATTCCCTGAAAACCTCTGCCCTGTCCTTATAAACAGTTACACGGGTCACAGGGCATTCACTTGCTTTAACTGAGATGAGGTTGATAGAGGTTTTCTCATCCTGGTCTGCCATGACACTAGTCTTCTAGCTCTTCACTTAATATCCTTAAATAAATCCTAGAAATGAAAAATGAAGACTAAATTAAGGACACACACACACAAATTTAATGTTTTACTAAAGCAATACTTTGATACATGGTTTGCATGATCAATATTGATGAAAAAAGTTAAAGCAGCTTGAAATTTCAAATAAAAATTTCAATCAACTGAATATTATATTGTTATGTCTTTTGTAAATATCTCATGTCTTCTTAACATAATTTTGTCATATTCATATACAATTTAATACACTGTTTAAAATTATTAGTTTAGAAAACGTAAAGACCTTTCCACAAAACTTTTTTCTTCTTTTTTGACTCTGGTAAGCTACTTTAACTTTTTTCAGGCTAATTACCTCTTCAATATACCGGTACTTATTTTTAGGGGTGTGCCGGAGTCCGGTCCGGAATCCGGTTCCGCCGGATTTTGCACTATCCGGTGAAATCCGGTTCCGCCGGATTTACATGTATCCGGAACAACCGGATTCCGGAATCCGGAATATACCGGATTTCGGAATTTGACAGATTTTGTGACTCACCGGATCATAATCTGAAATAAAAGTAATTCTCTTTCCCGAATTTCACACGATCACGATACATTAATCGATTGTTTCGAGCGTTGAGCTTGTTTAATGTTTAATATTCCGTACATACCAGAGGCTAGAGTCAGCACCGCTAATAGTGGCCAATAGTGTAGGGACTTTGATAAGAAAATTTAAACTTTTTGTAAAAATAAACCAATGGCATAGTTGAAAAGATGTAATTTTTTAAAGAATTATAACACCAAAATCATATTTTTAGCTGTTGTAGTTTTAAAGTTATGAATTTTTAAAGTACGACTTGGTTTGTCATTTTTTAACATGGACTGCATCTCCACATTCTGTGATCTCATTCCACCAATCCCGTCATGCGCAATGACTATATAGTTTATATAAGGCAACGCATTCCCTGCCTTATCACTAAAATACTGTTTAGACTTAGTTTAAACTTTCAACTTTGGCACATGAATAATTAATTAAAGCTTTCCCTGACCAATGGTTTAATAGTTTTTGCACACGGCAAACTCTTATGAATGAAACTCTGAGGTAGTACTACGATACAGTTATGCAAGTGGCTGTGAATGGTTGCCAATGACAACGTGTTGCACACGGTAAATTCTGATCATTTATAATATGGATTCTACCGGGTTGTTAAAGCTCAAATTAAAACATTCCAGTTTAAATGTCTTTAAATGCATTCTGAAACACAAGTTATCAATTATTTTGATGTAAATAGTGATAATATATTAATATTTCCTAAGTATCGTCAACTTCCGCCATTAAAAAGGGGGGCGTGGCCAACCCCATGGCGAAATTAGGTTGAGCGAGCTGCATGACCTGCTGCGAACGCGTAGAAACATGGCGTCTCTCGTAAGACACATATCCAAATGGAACGGAGCTCAAATATATATCGAAAGTACTAATTTAATAATAAATAGACAAACACATCGGAAAATTAAAAACTCTGATTTTTTGTCGCCGATTGCGATTTCCCATACACAAAAAGTAGTAGTCCACCTTGACTTACCGAATGAGTATCTACCAATAGTACCAAAATCCGGAATCCGGGAGAAACCGGAATCCGGATCCGGCGGATTTCGCATAAGAAAATCCGGATCCGGTTGGAAAAAACGGATCCGGCACACCCCTACTTATTTTAACACATTTTTTTTCAAAATCAAATCCATAGAATTTATTTTTAAATTGATGATTTAGAAAGAATAAATATTTCTAGAACTGGTACCAAAAAAAAATGAAACTGGCATCATAATGAAAATGCTACACAAAAACTTTTTTTTTTTTTTATAGCTTTCCACAGTATTCTCATCTTTAAATTTTTTTAAAATGCATTCAAATCTGCAAATTGGTTATTATTCTGATATTAAAAAGAGAAAAGAATATGGAAATTCAATGTATTGTATAAACAGGACAAGTAATTAAAATTCCTATCTGTTATTCAGGGAGCTGAGTCACAAAAGTAACACAATTAAGAAAATACAAGTGCATTTCATTTAATAACAATTTATGAAACATACATTATTAGTATAAGGATAGACCCATTAAATTCTTAATTTTGTTTTTAAAACAGTATTTTAAATTTAATTTCATGTATCTCTACGTTCATGGAATCGTGTAAATTTAAAATAATGCTAATAACTATACTATTTAAGTCTTAAAAGCTTGATTCCATCATAAATTTTTTTAAATAACATGTGATCCTAAATTAAGTTACGATTTTATGATGAAATATAATTTGAAACCAGATTGCCAATGTTTTTTATCAGTACTTAGAAAGAACTTTTAGAAAATATTAATACTATAAGTATAAGCCTTTACATTGATCTAAAGGTAATGAACCCTTTTTGAGATGGAGCCTTTTTGGAATATTGGTGCCAAGAAGATGAAGCCCTTTTTACAAGCTTGGCACTCATATAGCAAAAACAGTTATACATATAAACTAATTACTTTACACCCACAAAAATAATATTATGTATATCCTTGTAGGGAATTGAATGAACTAATTCAATCTTTATGAATCAAACTAAAATCTCAAAATCTTTGCAAATGAGATATCTTGATTTGGATTATTTATGCATACTTTTTTTTTTACAATTAAAATAAACACATCTTACTTGCAGAATTTTTTTAACAATTTTTTAAAGAAATGATGCAAAATAGCGCTATATCCCGATAATGACATCTACCAAAAACGGTGCCAGCTTATCACAGCAATTGGCGCCGTGTAGTCCGCATTTTCTACTGCCAGCGACAGGAGCATTGGAGTGCCTACTTATGGCTTTACTTACTGAACTGAGTGATGAGTAACTGACACTGACTCGATCAACTGAAATCCAAATTTACCTAGACTTAAGTCCGTTAGGTCTAATAATCTAATACTAAGACTAAACTAATACTAAAATAAATAATATTAATTTAAAATTAATACTATTAATAATAAAGAAATGGTAACCTTATTAGTTATTAGTATTAGCTTAGACTTAGGAATTAGACGAGGAAAAGTTATGAATATTAACTTTTAATAGATTGTAGTTAGGGGTGTGCCGGACCCCGGTCCGGAATCCGGTTCCGCCGGATTTTGCACTATCCGGTGAAATCCGGTTCCGCCGGATTTACATGTATCCGGAACAACCGGATTCCGGAATCCGGAATATACCGGATTTCGGAATTTGACAGATTTTGTGACTCACCGGATCATAATCTGAAATAAAAGTAATTCTCTTTCCCGAATTTCACACGATCACGATACATTAATCGATTGTTTCGAGCGTTGAGCTTGTTTAATGTTTAATATTCCGTACATACCAGAGGCTAGAGTCAGCACCGCTAATAGTGGCCAATAGTGTAGGGACTTTGATAAGAAAATTTAAACTTTTTGTAAAAATAAACCAATGGCATAGTTGAAAAGATGTAATTTTTTAAAGAATTATAACACCAAAATCATATTTTTAGCTGTTGTAGTTTTAAAGTTATGAATTTTTAAAGTACGACTTGGTTTGTCATTTTTTAACATGGACTGCATCTCCACATTCTGTGATCTCATTCCACCAATCCCGTCATGCGCAATGACTATATAGTTTATATAAGGCAACGCATTCCCTGCCTTATCACTAAAATACTGTTTAGACTTAGTTTAAACTTTCAACTTTGGCACATGAATAATTAATTAAAGCTTTCCCTGACCAATGGTTTAATAGTTTTTGCACACGGCAAACTCTTATGAATGAAACTCTGAGGTAGTACTACGATACAGTTATGCAAGTGGCTGTGAATGGTTGCCAATGACAACGTGTTGCACACGGTAAATTCTGATCATTTATAATATGGATTCTACCGGGTTGTTAAAGCTCAAATTAAAACATTCCAGTTTAAATGTCTTTAAATGCATTCTGAAACACAAGTTATCAATTATTTTGATGTAAATAGTGATAATAAATTAATATTTCCTAAGTATCGTCAACTTCCGCCATTAAAAAGGGGGGCGTGGCCAACCCCATGGCGAAATTAGGTTGAGCGAGCTGCATAACCTGCTGCGAACGCGTAGAAACATGGCGTCTCTCGTAAGACACATATCCAAATGGAACGGAACTCAAATATATATCGAAAGTACTAATTTAATAATAAATAGACACACACATCGGAAAATTAAAAACTCGGATTTTTTGGCGCCGATTGCGAATTCCCATACACAAAAAGTAGTAGTCCACCTTGACTTACCGAAGTATCTACCAATAGTACCAAAATCCGGGAGAAACCGGTATCCGGATCCGGCGGATTTCGCATAAGAAAATCCGGATCCGGATCCGGTTGGAAAAAACGGATCCGGCACACCCCTAATTGTAGTCATTATGCATAATTTATAAATGTGAAACTGACTATATAGGCGAGAATTATAAAAGTAAAAAGATATTCAATAATATTAATAGAATATTATTAATTAATATACTATTACTCATGAATTTCATAGAGTTTTAGAGGTCTAGTGAATATCAGTGTCAGTGATAAGGCTAAATAAAAATATAGCCTTACTAAGATTTAAGACTTAAGAAAATCACAAGCAACTTATGAGCAACTAGTACTACTAGCACTAGCACTTACTAGCAGACTAGCTGCCCTTCTGAACTTACCTTACTGGTAAGTTAAGTAAGAGTAAGAGTAAGAGTACTAGTACTAGTAAGTTTAAGTAAGATACTGCCAAATGAGTTGATAATTATTTATGAATTTTTTTTCCTTATTTAAAACTTAATCCCTGTAACCTCTTAGTATAAACGTTCGTGAAACATTAATAAAACGCTGATTAAAATATAGGAATTGTTATTAATTACGTATTAGTTTACAGACTCCGCCCTTGTACAAAGTCAACAATCCAATTAAACTAGTACTTCCGCATTCTTTTAAGGTGGGGGTAAAAAAAAACCTTCAGATTGCCAAAGTGTA